TGGTGTGTACTTTTACTTTCCACAATATTGTATTGCATTGCAAAGAAATATTACTAGCAGCACCACAGCACCACCGGCCAGCGTTGCCTGGCCGAATGTGGCATGCGGGTGAAGCAAGTACGTGAATAGCACACGTGCTCAGCACGTGGTGGTGGCCAGACCGCTGAAGTCCTGGTGAGGGAGGTTCTTCATCGTTGGAAGGAGAAGGAGGGACGTCTGTTACGCCTTCGGGAGGCTGGTCAGGGTTGTCCATCACCTGGTGGCGGATGAAGCGGCTCAAAAAATTCATAAACTTACGAACAAAAGTGCGATGCGCTCTTCACTGCAGATCAGATGCAGAGTGCAGTCAGTGCAGATCTTTTGTATCCTTTTGTTGCAGATGTTTCTATTAATTTTGCAGAGAACGGTTCACGTGGTCCGCAGCGCTTGTGCGGCTGCTAGTGCTACCTGAATAGTATGGCCTAGGCTAGGTGGCTACATGATTCGCACGCTTCGCGTGCTCAGTGCTTCTGCGCGCGGCTGCTACTGCTACTCGTGATCGTACTGATCGTGTCTGCTACCACCTACACTGTTCGCACGCTTCGCGTGCTCAGCACGTGGTGGTGGCTACACGATTCGCACGCTTCGCGTGCTCAGCTCAGTGCTTCTGTGCATGTGGCTGCTTCCGCTAGCTACACGATTCGCACGCTTCGTTCGCACGCTTCGCGTGCTCAGTGCTTCTGCGGCCGCTAGCTAGCTACACTGTGCACATGTGCTACACTGTTCGCACGCTTCGCGTGCTCAGGGCAGCGCTGCTCCGCAGCGCTTCAGCGTGACACAAAAACACACGTCACAGGTGCCTCTTCTTTATAAGGAGCGTGACACACACACACACAGACACACGTCACAGGTGCCTCTCTTTTATAAGTAAAGATTCTTGAGCCATCCGCATCACCAATAACACTTTAAGGGGGGACGGGAGGTTCAGAGGGTCAAAAAATGAATTTCTGAGTTTTGAACTTTTTGCTATGGAATCTTGTCTTAGGATATTTGAAGTGCCAGAATTTCAAATTTGAGCGTAATCGGTTCAGTAGAAGTGGAGTTATGAGCTAAAGCATGTCGAGATAAATTTCAAATGTAAATACTCAAATGTTTACAATTGCCTAATTTTGTGATTTTGGTTTAGTCCAAAATCAAGCGTTTTTGATTCAACTTCGCCAGGTAAGCGACCCTGGCTTCTGTTTTTGTAGTCATGGAGAGCTGTCACGTGCTTCCTTGATCGCGTATGACGTTCTGCAGCGCCACGACGCCCACGCGAAGGAAAAAATCTTTGTTTTTTTGTTTGTGATCGTGAAAGTGAACAATTTTACATGGGGAACCGAAAGAGAAGCACCAGCAGCTCTGGAAGTGGCCATAGGAGGAAGAAAAGGAGATACTACGCCCCAAAGCAGTCAAGCTCTGTACCAGTTGTGGAAGAAGGCACCGTTGAAGCGGCGCAGAGCGCTTCCTCTCGGAAGATTTCGTCGAGGCCAAAATGGCTTAGTGATAAATAATTTATTAATTATGGTCATGGAATTTGAATCTGAGCTTGTGTGCTCGAGTGACAGTGATTCAGACGAGTCGTCCAGTGATAGCTGCCAGGAGTATGATGATGATGCATTCTATCCTGATGTTGAGGAGTCTGTCTCTGGCTACAAGATCGTGGATTTACAGTGTCTCCAGGAACTGATGGATCAATTTACTGTCTGTAGGAAGTGCACGAAGGGAGACATGATCGTCAGTAACTGTCATGACACTGGACTTGGATCGACCCTGCGACTTCAATGCGCTTTGTGTGGACACAGTGGAAGTACGTCTCTGAGCAAGAAAATTGGCAGGAGCTATGATCTGAATCGACGATCTGTACTGGCGATGCATTGGACGTGGCCATGGTGGACTCCGAAAGTTTTGCGGCGTAATGAATTTTCCTGCTCCTGTAACGGAGAAAGCGTACCGCAGCCACCAGGAAGTTGTCCTTGCTGCAGCCGTAAAGCTAGCTGAAACTGACATGGTTCAATCCGCAGCTGAGTTGCGTGCCATGACAGATTCCACCCACGTCGCAGTGACGTTCGACGGCACTTGGATGCGCAGGGGATATTCGTCGCTGTATGGTGTGTTCGCGTGCATCTCCTTCCAGAGCGGCCGTGTACTGGACATCACAGTGAAGGGTCGATACTGTCACGAATGTAAGATCTGGACTGAGAAGAAGCGAAGTGGTGCAATCACGGTGGAAGCCTTTTCAACCTGGCTGGATAATCACAAGTGCAGCATAAACACAGCGGCATCTGCACCCGGTATGGAGAGTGAAGCTGCGTGTGATATTTGGCAGCGGTCTGTGGGCACACGCGGAGGCCTCATGTACACGTCGTACATCGGAGATGGGGACTCCAAAGGCTATAAGAAGGTGTGCGACCTGGACCCTTATGATGGTGTTGCCATCAGCAAGGAAGAATGCATAGGCCATGTGCAGAAGCGTGTTGGCAATAGGCTCCGGGAACTGAAGCGGCAACACAAGGGCATGAAGCTGAGCGATGGCATCGGTCTCAGTGGAAAGGGCCGTCTCACTGACAGGCAGATGGAGCGTCTCCAGACCAATTATGGCAATGCCGTCAGGAGGAATGTCGGAGACCTGCAAGCAATGGCCAAGGAGATCTGGGCTGGGCTCATGCACTGCTGCTCAACAGATGCTACGCCGCAGCATCAATTCTGTCCGGAAGGTCCAGACTCGTGGTGCAAGTGGCAGCAGGCGCAGAGTGGTGCACGCCAAGCTTATGAGCATAAGAACCCTCTCCCAAAGGCTGTGTTCGAAGTCGTGAAGCCCATCTACATGCAGCTGTCCGAACGAAGTCTGCTGGAGCGCTGCCAGATGGGTGCAACGCAGAATGCGAACGAGTCGTTCAACAACGTCATTTGGAGAATGTGTCCGAAGGAAGGCTTCTGCTCCGTCGACACCGTTCAGCTGGCAAGTAGTTTGGCAGTGCTCAACTTCAACAACGGCGCTATCACCTTGCTCAGTGTGCTGAAAGAGTGTGGATGCATTGATGGCAATCACACGAAGGCAGCGCTTGAGCTAGAAGACCAATGGCGTGTGAAGAAGTCCCTCCGCAAGTCATGAGCAGTGGAAAAGGAGAGCAGGAAAAGGAGAAGGAGGCAGAGGAAAGGCTGGGAGGAGACCACTATTGAGAAAGAGGGCACTACATATGACAAAGGTGGGTTCTGAATGGCAACTTCAGGTCAGATATGTGAAAATATTTCAGTAGCACTCCACTACCAGTCCTTTTTATGTAATTTTTAGGTGCATTTTTCACTGATTTTAGGGGTATTATGGGCACTCCGCGCAGTTTTTTAGAAATGCTGTACATATCTTGTATGTAAAAGTATATATTTTCTGGTTCTGTACGGTCCATTCTAGATCCGTTGCCTTCTTAGGACACAAGATCTTCTGTTAGAAACAAAATAATGGACCTTGAACTTCAGTCAAGTTATCTTGCGCACGTGCATTGTTATTTCAAGGCTGCAGTGGCACACCATTGGAACTGTAATCGCATTGTGCTTAGGCAACAGCCCTAGCCCCTTGGTACCTGATCATTTTGCAGTGTTATGTGTTTATCTTCAAGTGACCATGTTTGAGAAAAACTGCGCAGAAATCATGCCCGGCTATCGCATTTTTTCCAAAATTGCTTTCCTGCATTTCTCCATGATACCAGTATACTTTCCACAGTTCTTGGTTGCAATGTCGTCAGTGGATGTCAAGGAACATATACTGAAAATTTGAAGGAATTCTGATGTTTGAGTGCTGAGATTCAAGCGAATTTATAACGGGCACCGCAATATGGCCAGCGAACCTCCCGTCCCCCCTTAAGTTTAACAGTTCTGAAGGATTACCGTCACACTCTGGCTGCTGTCTACAAATTCACACCTTCCATTTCTATATTCACTAGCAATCTATACTTTCTGCGCTAATACCGTAGTGTAATAGCTCCCTCACCTAAGCAACCATCCACACGGCCATCATGGCAATATTTTCTGTGCTGAATCAGACACCAACCAGCTATCGCTAGGCTATGCTTTATATTGGCCAAGTCCCACTGAGCATGTAATACATGTAGTCGCCTGATGATTGCATTGAGCAAGAAACTCTGAGTTGCGACAAATCTGTACAACTCCATTATGCCTTTTGTGTGTATAGTGCTCCACATTATTGTGTTGAGCCCTCTTCGCTGGCAGAAGGAAGTTTTCCTCCTTGAAAAACATTCTTGTAGATCTACACCCAGCCCATCCATGCATAGTGTAGTCCATAACAATTATAACTGTTACTTGTTCATGATAAGTAGCACTGTGCCCCAGGGCCGGCTAGGGCCACCAGGGCCAGTGCATTGTGTGCTACCAAGAGTACATAACCAGGGGCGTAGGAGGGGTTTTGGAAGTGGTACGACCGAAGGTCGGTGCGGCTGAAGGCCGTGTTGGAGGGGGGTCCGGGGGACCTGCCCCGGGAAAATTTTGTAAAAAAGACACAAAATCCTGCGTTCTGGGAACTAGTTACTTCTGGCACACTTCAGGCGCAGTGCAAGTGTGCAGTCGAGTCGAGTACAGTCCTCAGTACGACTGCAGATGCATAACAGATCTACGAGTACGAGTCTAGAAAATGGTCAAAGTCTGATGCGCATACATGTACATATGTATGCATCGATGGACCCTGATTTTTTTTATTACGGTTTTGAACGTTCCAGACGGACCACACTTTTCGAAAAGTGGTACGGCCATGGTCGTACCAGTCGTAGCGGGTGCTACGCCCCTGATAACTATGCACTCTTGGTGCTACACGTATGAAAGCCAGGTGAGGAGAAGAGCTCAGTCCAACCATCAAGGGACTTTCCCTATCAATACTACCAAGACTCACAAGAGTATACAATCATGTATAACCCCAGCCCCAGTGGTTATACTCTTGATATTATCAAGAGTACACAACCAGTATGCACATGTTCATGTATGCACTCTTGCTATTTAATATCAAGAGGACATAGCCATGATTGCTAGTAGTATTGTAATGTACTCTTTAGACTTTTATTATGGAGCGAGTTCCGGTAGTCTTGCTAACCGTGAGTACAGTAGTGACAGCAAGAGGTAGAGCTGCTGCAGCATCACGGCGGGGGGGGGGGGGGGGTTATTAACTACATGTACTATCAGCACAAAAAAGACAAGAAAAGAAGACGTCCAGTATAGTGCTGCATACAGTTCGTAAAAAGGTTTCTTTCGCGCAAAAGTTAAAAATAAGTTGTTAAAAAGGTCAAGATTTTCAAAAAGATGATTTTCATGGTACAAAATCTGATATTGGCAAGTGTGATACGTCCTGTAATAAAATTCACCGCCTCCCTGTTCGGACAGTAAAACAAAATACCAACTCAATAAAGTCAAAAATCATTGTTGAGAAGGTATTCAATTGCAGGGTTTAAAAATCATCGGTGTGTAACGTACGAGCATTTTCCGAAAGAACTACAGTATGTAATATACACACAGCGTCAGAGCTTATCAATTTCCATCCAAAATAGAGAGAAGGCACAATTGTGTGGTTGCAGCGAATACCACCGAACACAAGAAGCAACACGCGCGCGCACACACACACACACCAACGGACGGACGGAAAGCAATGGCCTGGCGCGGCTATGTTGTCTCAGTGGCAGCCCTTAGGGTACTTACAGCCCTCCTTGATGAATCCTTGCAAGGCTGAGTAAATAGTGGCACCCATCATCAGAAAACTAACTCCAATAATAAGATAATTAATGACCAGCTCGTGCAGTGGGACATGGTACTTCAGCTGGGCGGCGAGTTGCAGGAAGAACAGTGCCGGGAAGATGTAGCTGAGCAGCATCACAGTCGTACCGCCAATGAGCGACAGGATCTTGGTGAAGCAGGGCACACCGACAGCAACCGCAATGGACAGGATGACCTGCACGGTGCGCAAGATGACGCGAGGAAGGCCAAATTCTGCACGTGCAAGCATGATAAGAACAGCAGCAGCAGCAACAACAAAATCCAATTCTGACTCATTTTCATGATTTACTGGCCAAGCCAGCCAGGACCGGGTTTGAAAAGGCCAGATACAAATTATTCCTGAATAGACTTGAGTAGTACCTGACTCCTCAGATCCGGGCACCTTTCCGATCCTTCTAGTCACAGAAATCGGCTTTCCAATGAAAAGCGGCCCCAAAAACTATGGATGGACATCAATTGTTTACTTGCATGCAATAAGTATGGAACTGTGCATGGATGTTCTGTGCTACGGACAATTCCTACAGTGCTGGCAACTGAAATCCGATCCCCTGAGCGATGATGCGTTCACATTCTAGCGGTGTCTATTTCGTAGTTTAACTATCCTGTGTTGGGTCTTTGCGATGTGAGTGCAACGTTCAGGGATCGGATTTCAGTTGCCAGCACTGTACTTCTGAAGTAGTTACAGGCAGTGGCCGCTCCCAACCTGCATGGAAAATGGAAATCGTACTCTAATGGTGATACAGACACGGTCTTGCTCAATGAGATACAGTCGTGTCACTCAAGTTTACGTCTTGCGTCATTCAGCAGCCCAGTGTTTGCAGGTCTAGGGCTGCGCAACGGCCGGCGCGTACTTGAGTGACGCGACTGGATTTATTGAGCAGCATTGTATTTACACAGTCACGCACACACCCACACACACACACACAGTTACAAACACACACACACACACCTACCCCCCACCCCCACCCCCCACCACATCACACGCATACACACACCTCAGACCTGCCCATCGCAGAAGTAATGATAGCTGGGATTACACCATTCAACAGGTTGCAAGGCTGATGAATTGACCGCCACTAATTTTAGCCTGGTATCCACCGCACAGCTGATTGAAGTGGCTTTTTCTGGCCAGTGAATCCCGATTTTTCATTTTTTTCATTCTTTTTCTTTTTCGACACACACACACCACACCACATACTCTGGCATGCACTGGCTGTTGGTAACCACCCAGGAGAATGAAAGAAGAGCAAGGAGAATGAGAAAGAGAAGAAAGACGTGTGCGACCATAATCGTCGGGAATTGAACCCGCAACCTCTCGATTGGAAATCGACTGCACCACTGCACCATATGGGACACACACACACGCGCACACACAGTTACACACACACACACGCACACACACACACACACCACACACACCACACACACACACACACACACACACACACACACACAGTTACACACACAGTTACACACACACACACGCACACACACATGTACACGTTACTTACTCTGCGGCAAGTTGAGCAGCCGCTCAATGTCCTGCGAGACCGGGTTGGAGACGAGCACGTAGCCAAAGAGGATGTGAATGTTGAAGAGCCAGGTGACCGCGGTGACGGCATGGTTGACACCCGGCGACTTGGCGTGCAGGTTGGCCAGGATGTTGCCGCTCGTGTCGCCCTTTAGGTACTGCGAGCCAATGGTGCTGACGGGAATGTACATGGCCAGGATGACCACGTATCCGATGATGACGGCCACGCCAAACTTGGACGTGTCGGCCATGTCGTGCTGATACGTTGGAAAGGACGCGTGACCGCCGAACGCAAACGCCACCGTGGCGACACCCAGAACAAAGCTCTCGAACGTGGGTGACGCGGCCGTGGCTGTGGGGTTCTCGCCGTTGAGCAGCAGCAGTATGATCACAGTAACTACGGCAATAGACGTAGCGCCCGTGGCGATCGCGGCGACCCACCAGGCGTCCTTCGGCGACTCGAGCAGATTCATCGGGATCAGAACGGCGCCGATGATCAGGACCCAGTAGCGATACTGCAGACTGTGCGCGAACAGGCACTGCAGGTTCAGCGCAAGGAGCAGCAGGAACACGGTGCTCACGGCAAACAGCGTGACGTTGATCAGCCAGGATACGGTGATACGCGCCCAGCGGCCCGCCGCACGCTCGCCAATCGACGGGTACGGGTCCCTCACGTGCTCGCTCGCGTAGTCCTCCGGCCACTGGCGCAGCAGAAACTGCCAGCATCTGCCCAGCAGTACACCAGTGTAGCCTGACACCAGTGCAATCACCACCACCATTACGGAGCCTATCCAGCCCATTTGGTACACACCATACGGTAGAGACAACACACCACCACCGGCCATTTCACCAATGACGAACAGGATAGTGGAGAAGACCCCCAATCCTTTTCCAGCAGCTGCATAGTAACTTTTATTTACGGAGAGTCCTGGTGAAGTGTTGCCAGGCGGCAAAAGACTTTGAGCATCTTCAGCCAACTTCATACTAGCTCTTTTCCGGTGGAGAACACACACAAGCCAACCGATAGGTACAATGTATGTATGATCAGAAATAGCCTGCACTTTGGCTGGTTGCTGGAAAATTGCAAAAAAAAAGAAAAGAAACAAAAGCAGCAACTCCAACTCTGAGTTTGAGCACGAGCCTGAGATCCAGACTGATCCTACGCCAGAGTCAGAGATGACAAGTAGCTTCTCCTCCAGGGTCCTGGATCAGTAGGCATGATGTGGCTCGTCGCGTCTTCGACGCCCTAGCTATGCTGTACTGCGAAGATTTTGAAATGTCACTTTTCAGACGAGCTTGATTCTGGATGTAGATCTACATGCATGACGTACAAACAACACGTGCACGCGCGTTTGTAGATGTACAGTACGGCACGCATGCAGCCAAAACCGGCATGATACCACGGCCACACACATTATTGACATCACAGATTATGTAGTACCGGTACGATCTTTTTCCCATGGCCCAGTGCGTGTACGTACAGCTCTACGGCCGGCTAGCTAGCTACATGTACAAAAAGATGCTGACAAGTGCATGAGTGCTTGCGCTTGTGCATGTGACCAGGGAGTCGTCAAAATGAAATAATTATTTTATTTTTTGACGACTCCCATATGACCTGATAATGATAGTATTATGATTCATGATGACCCATGCTTGCAGCATGGGCCCATACTCCATAGTGACATACCATCAAGAGTCCATAACCATTGGCATTGCCATTGGCCTATTGGGGGTTATGGACTCTTGATACCATGTACCAGTGCAGTACGATCGAGTACCTACTGCGTACTGCAGCATGAAAAAGACTAAAAAGCAGGGGAATTTACGACTCCCTGCTAAAAAGCGGTCTATACTAGGGCTCAAACGGTTAGTCCGATTAACCGGTTGCAGACCGGTTACGAAGAATTAGCGGTTAACCGATAAAGATAACGGTTACGCAGTAACTTTTCAGTCAATTTTTCAAGTATCAGGTCGTTGCAAAGTATGCACTTTCGCAGGCTGTCGCATGCGTAGATCTACGCAATTTCTGGGTTGTCAACTCGGTCATATCTGGTCTCTTGGTGTGAGAGTATGTATGAATGAGCATGCAAGAGAATGTACATGTGTACGTTGTACTGAATAGGGTACATTTTTTGAATAAGTATAGTCAAATATACGGTTAAAGAAGAGTCCGCAGGATTGCCGTGGCTTATAGGTTATAACCGCTAAACCGACCATTAGCTTAGCAGTTAACCGTTGGGGGTAAAACCGTGACCGTTTGAGCCCTAGTCTATACCCCCCTCCCCGATCACTGTATGGATCAGTATGCACAGAAGTGCTGTAGTGAGCTACCCATAATGGTCCCGAGCAGCATGAACATGGACGAATTTGGCAGACAGACAGACACACGCTCATCGCTGAGGCAACGATAGCGAACGAGCTATGTGAGACATCGCAACTTCTTGTGCTGGGATTACACTATTCAACAGCTTGCAAGGCTTATAAATTATCCACAGCGGTAGAGCCTAGAGGGGGACGAGGACATAACCGTCACAACATATACAACGACGCACAACTGTCAACAACAATTTCACAAACGAAACGAAGATCATGTCAACTCAGCTGACAACGACTGAAAGTGCTAGGCCCACATAACGTAGTGATACCGAAGTATGTAAACTTAATAAAACAAAAAAACAAAACGGCCCGTGCCATTCCAAATCAATCACTATGAAATCAAAAGAAGAAGAACGAAAACCCAGGCTAACGCATACCGTCATACGCTCACAGATCTGCAATGAATAAAACAAAACGGCCGCGACACATACAGAAGAAGAAAAATAATTCAAAATCCTTCTCTTTGCTATCGTTGAGTACCAGTACAGAAAATCTATGATGGCCAGGCCATATTCAAATAGAAACTAAACAATCGTCGCACTGCACGAGGCTTTAGCACACCGCAAGATCAAACCACCAGGTCAGTTGCACTTGGCAGTAAGAAACAGGTCCCAAGGGAGGGCAGGGCCCCTGGGAGTAGGTGAGCAGTCAATGAAAAGAATGACATTGCACGGACAGGCGTTCTCCATACCACAGGCACCGGCGAAGGTGCCAGCAATGACTGCATCCGCGCACACCGCGCACACCGCACACACACACACACACACACACACACACACACACACACACACACACACACACACACACACACACACACAAGTACTACTACCCCCCCCCCTCACATGAACAAAGTCAGTGGCGATATCAAGGTAGCATGCAGTGATGAGCCAGAGCGCCGCTGAAAGCTATTGCCATGGCGGGTGCTGAAACTATGGGTACAGTGCTGGCCACATCAAGAGCTGATCATGACGGTGCATGGCAGCATGTTCTCTCCAGCCAGCGCGCTAGAACTATAGTGATCTGTGATGAGTCGGGTGCCGACACTAAGCTAGCACTAGTTCAAGGTCAAGGTTGAATTTCAATGGGAGACTACTTCCCCTTGGCGGCTGCATACTTTTCTTGAACCGCTTGCCGGAATGCTGAGCATAAAAGCAAGCAGACAAACAAGAAACCGGATAAGAACCAGGCAGTGAGGAGTACACACAGTGCGAGAAGCGACGACAACAACAACAACATCATCTCTTATTGGCGATGGTGCCATCGTGAGAATAAAGAATTCAACAACAACAGCAAGCAGTTACCATGTGGAGTGAAATCGGCGATCCGGGTAACCAACCAACCCAATCAACCGAAGGTGCAAAGCTCCCTAGAGCGTACAACCAGGCAAGGCAAGGGTATGGAACTCCCCAGAGTGAGCAAGTGCTGATGGGCAGCTGCACCAACATGTTTCAGGATCACGTCATTCTGCATGACACAACCAGCTCTAGGCATGCATTCAAGATATGAGTTTGCCCGTGCATTACGCGGTCCGGTCAGGCGCGAGATTGACCCGTGCAATACTGTAAGACATGTTATTATAACGAGCCGCAAATTTAACGATTGTCCAAAATTCATAGGTTAACGAGAAGATATGCTAACGATCTTTCAGTATTCTGCCATATCCACACACAGCATATATGAAGCAGTACGGCCTCAACGGATCTTATTATAACGAAGAAATGTCATCCGTTAAAACGTTAGATTTGCTTCCTCGTTATATATACATGTCTTACAGTATGCGATTTTTGTCGGGTGCATTAGATCAAGAAAATCTGGCAATCCTGAGAAAAAAATCCTGACAAGAAGTTGTATTCTGCTGGGATGTACTCTTGGAGCAGTAAAGAGACCCACGTCGTCCCAGACTACCAGTCATCTCCGGTGTTAAGCAATATTTCAATGTACCGGCGTACCAGTCTACCTATATAACCTATAAAGACCGCTCTGGAGCCCCTTGGGGGAGAGGGGGACTACTTCAGATAGTTCCAGTACAATGTACATCCACAGGCTGGCACAAGAAACTAATCGAACGGGTCATCTCTCTAGGAAAGCTAGCATACGACACCCATCTGCTACACTTCTAGACGGAAAGACGTAGTAGTACTGTGGTAGATATGGTCTACTTCACCAACTCTTCCGCATTTATGATCACTGTGCATGCACAGTGCATGCACAGTAGCCTAGAATCCGATACGCACTAGGATGTTCGGATCAGTTGGGTGTTGCTGTTATCGATTTCTTTTATTGTACTTCGTGCAGCTGATATAATGTGCTCTGAAAATTTGGCTTTCTTTGCTGAAGGCAGAGGAAGCTAGCAGAGAGCAGCTGAGTATCATCATCGCCATGCCAACCTTCCGCGACCAGCGGCCGGCATCATTTCTTCGCCCAAAAACCAGCCATGCTTGCACACAGCCCACCACACACACACCACCACCACCACACACACACAGAGCTTGAAACACACCTTCTTTCTGCGACCAGAGCGCTGCAGCTTGTGGATTGAGCGGACTGTTGTTATTGGGCTCTGCAGATTGCAAAACAAGAACAGATTTTTGGTTGGAGGAAAGCAAATCAGCACACGAAGCACAGAAGCAATATAATTTCGACTAGGCCTTTCGTACCATTACTCTTCAAGTCGAATACAATGGTGATTAACAAGGTAGCAAGCAAGTCCTTAGACAGTACCCGGCACTTTGGCGGTCAGAGCATTGACAAAAATAGCACTTGAAAAATAGCGTGAGTGGCGCCAACTACACGGTGAGACAATGCATATTACCAGTATCAGACAACAGTCGGGACCACGGTACGACAATGTCAAAACAGTGACAACTTTCGCACATACTTCTTTTGCACGCACAGTTCAGGCTTCAGCTTGGCAATGTACACTGCCTCCAGCACAGCAAGGTGAGAATTGTTGCGCGCACGCGCTTGAATCGTGAAGTGAGAGTGGGTGCCATGTTTGCAGACTGCACTTAGGCAGGCTGGTGACAATGTCAGGTGACGGAGTATCGCCGAGTCCTCATTATCGTCATTGTCCGTTGGTCCATTCCTGTGGTAGCTGTGTAGTTGGCGCCACTAGCGCCACTAGCTCTTTTCAAGTGCTATTTTTGTCAATGCTCTGACTGCCAAATATGTTGTTGGCGCCACTAGCGCTATCTTTTCAAGTGCTATTTTTGTCAATGCTCTGACCGCCAAATATGTTGTTGGCGCCACTAGCGCTATTTTTCAAGTGCTATTTTTGTCAATGCTCTGACCACCAAAGTGCCGGGTACTGTCTAAGGACTTGCTTGCTACCTTGTTAATCACCATTGTATTCGACTTGAAGAGTAATGGTACGAAAGGCCTAGTCGAAATTATATGGCTTCTGTGCTTCGTGTGCAAAACAAGAACAGGACAACATAAAGTGCACGAAGAAAGAAAACCATATTAAATACCATCACCAAATTTGGTGCTGGTGGGCCATGGGTGCAATTGGGAGTGCGTTCAGTCATGCAGACCCAGAATAAGAGGGAGCTGGATCATCTTGAGCAGCCTCAAACCGCATGATGGTGATCACAGAGGACACCCCAAATGGCCGCAAACGACTGCATCACTGTATATGGGCATTCTTTGGTGGGAAACTTGAGTACTTCACATCCAGCAAATACGCGTGTCATATTTTGAAAAATAACTAAGCCACTTTAGGGCGAAAGTCAAACTGACCCAGGTATGTCAAACCCAAGGCAAGGGCAAACCGAACATGTAACATGCTCCGAGTGCATGGGTATGAGAACGGTACACAGTGCTGTTAACATGTTCAGCAGCACTGTACTGTTCGATACGTCATATCGAGCACTAGCACTGGTGCTAAAAAGCGCCTCTGGTCCGGGCCTCTGCAAAAAAGGTACCCTACTACTTGCCCCCCCCCCCCCCCACACACAAACAATTGGCAGCAACAGGCATCCAAAGGCTCGCAGACAGTCTAAGAGTTTCAATGACGGTAAATTCAAAAAACGGTGGTCGGACCAAGGGACAACCAAGCAGTTTAGATCGTATAATCATATTAGAAAAGCTGTCCCTATGCTAGAATAAGCAAGTTTCACATCACAACCAACAAACTCTGGCATTGCACACTACACATACCTCCCAGCAGACTCTGTAATGATAGCAATATCGTTCTTGTGTCGTACAGCGCTGACCACTTGTCCTGAACAAGGGAAGGAAAAGATAAGCCGATTAGAAGTTGCCATAGTCATATATGAACATGACTTCCCACACCGGGGAATAGCAGTGAGAAAACCTGCAATTTCTGGCTATCGTAAATTTATTATAGTGCGTATTAAAGCGAATAATATTGGTACACTGAGAAAAAGAACACTTCGTAGTCATCTAACTTCCGTAAATGCAATCGATCGGGAGCTACCACGTATGTGCATATACAGTCGACCTACCCGTATAACGATATTTTCGTCACACCAAGAAATATTGCTATGATAGCTCTTAGCCTGTCACCAGGAAACCTTATAATGACATAACGCTACACATAAAGACCCTATATATAGGGTTAGGACCCCTAAAGAAAGGGTTTGATCAGTCCTCACAACTGGGCACACAATACACACAGTTTCACTTGGTTTTTTTGATATTTTCACTGCATTGCCATTGATGTTAGCAGGAGCGCTCCTACGACGTGCGCGAGTGTCGCCGTATTTGCTGCTTCCGACCCACGTGTGGATCAGCTGATGCAGAAACGGCAATGGCGGGAGCGGCAGCTGCGACAGCCGCTGTTGATGCTTCGCCTTCTTCTTCAGGAGCATCCGACGCTGCTGGAACATCGACATCATCATCCTGAGTCGACACCAGGTCGCCAGGAACATTCTCATCGCCCGAGTTCGTCTCCACTAACTCAAGTTGCTCTTCCTCCATCGTGAAAAATCAAACCCTAGATATAGGGCCTAGAATTTTTTACGACAGCGCTGCACTAAAACTAACCGTACTCGAAGAAAATAGCAACACAATTTTCACGGTCTTCAGCAAGAGAACCCTTCGTACATTCTACGTATGTGGGCACAGGCGTCTAGTTGCCATAGCAGCCAAGTGGGCTCTAAAGAGAGCACAAGATAGAACGCGCGGCTGAAAACCCTATAAATAGGGTTTGATAGGCTAAGAGATAGGGGTAACTGGTTCATTTCATACACATTCGTCATAATGCATGGATTTTGTTCATTTTTTACACTCTTCATAGCATAAAAGCTGACATACATGCACATTATGCACACAGCAAGGTGCACACTACACGTACTGGTGGCCCCATTGCATTTCGTCATGTCCCAGCGACTTATCAAGTGAAGCTTGCCCTACCTGGATAGTGGGCTCTACATATTCCCTGCTAGATAGTTATAAAATGGAAAATGTCGATTGGTCAGCCGATTTTATATCGTTATAGGGGTAATATCGTTATAGCAATATTGTTATAGAGGTAAGGCATGTATAAGTCAATGGAGTGATTTGGTTTGGCAGAAAAATATCGTTATATTAGGGTAATATCGTTATAGAGGTTATCGTTATAAGGGTAGGTCGACTGTAGTACTGAACAGTGGGTTTAACGAAACTTACGAAATTAAAACGACTACGAAATATACAGTATTTGCACAAAACGAAAGTGCATACAAAACTGGATATGTACGATAAGGATACTAGAGATAGGCCTGAGTACCACACTATACCAAATCATGTCTTTTGCCCTACCGTATTTCCGCTCATATAAAGCCGGGACGTTATAAATGAACAAAAAGACCCTGGGCAAAATTGAAAGTGTACATGCACGACATGGCTGGTTCCGCGCCAGTGGTTCATGGGCTGCTGGCGTATTAAACGAACAGAGCACCAACACATACACAAACAACACCAGCACGCATCTCACCTTCAGAATGTCCAGACAGATGTTGCCGTACTGGTCAACATTGGGATGGAAACATGCCGTTTCAAATTTTACTGTTGGTGCCGAGAAGGGATAGTTGGGCGGGAACTGGAGAGATAGCTTGTATTTGAGACCTTCATATGGCTGTAACATAACATGGGAATATCGTCCAAAAAAGAAGTTGAAGCTACTTTCTGGTATCATGCCCTTAGGCACTCATCAGACACCTGTTGATAAGCAGTCACAGTGTCCTTATATGAAGCAATGTAACCTGCAAGCAGGCCTGAATGCCAAAGTAGCACACGACCCGGGCCCTGGTCTGTAACAGGCACTCAAGACTGGCGTGCAAGGCCATGACCCGCTGTGCTCAAAGTCGCAAACACATCCCAAATGATCGGTGGCACAAGTCTCCAAATTTTCAGGTTAAATATGCGGCAAATATTAATTTCGTTGATTTACAGTACATGTAATGCAGACGGGCAAAACCCGGACCTATCCCAAGGGCAATTGCAATCAGCAGCTCGGCAGCAAGACCCACATCATTTCTCTGGGTCGGTGTCAGATATTAGACACCCTTAGCAAACAACGTTATGTTGTAACGGTATTATCGTAAGGGGGAAAATACCGTGATTTGGGTTCGACCTTTAGCAAGACGCACACTATTTTTAGTACGCTGTTGCCACAAGAATGGCTTTGATTTCGCGCGGTACAACCATTTTTCATCATATACGCGATACAAGGTGAAATGCGTACGGACTATGCAATATTTGGCTAAAACACGTACCGTTGGTCACAACGATAAATCAGCCCCCATAACGTTTATACGCTGCAGCTTCAACGCTATTTGGGTGATCAAGGTACGAGTACCGTAAAAAATAGCGTTACCGTTGTTTGCTAAGGGTGTCTAATGGCTCATAGCTAATGTACTGTTGGATATAACAAGTAGAACCTTGCCAGGGAAGAGAAGAGAGAGATACGGTAAAACATGTAATTTTAGGTGCATCAAAATTTCGGTGCCAGGGACCTGCCAGGTTTCAGGTGTAATTTAGAATTAGGTGACCAGCATTCCCTTCACATACATTGTATACTCTGGTGGTGCCTTTTAGGTGTAATCTAAATTTAGGTGCTTGTTTTCACTACCGAAATCACCGAAATTAAAGTTACACCGAAAATATCGTGTTGTACAGTACGACTCCACGCCAGCACACTCACCGTTCCTGATGCTCCTGATATCGTGCCGATCCATTCGAAAAGATTGTCGCCATTGGGAAACGCCGAGATGCCTGGATTCTTGGAAGTCTGCACAAGAACAGCATGGAAACGGCAAGCGGTCAACAGCAGTGCAGCACCTTGCTGCTCACAGCCATCACGCAACAGGTCTCGCGACCCTCCACATTCCTGTCCCCACAGAATAATGTGGACAAAATCGTAAAATTATGCGCATAATTATTCGGGCGAAACGGCGAAACAGGCCATTATGCGGCAAATATGCAGGATTACGCGGTAAAATGCGGTTATTAGAGAGGTTCCGCATAACGTAATTACGTTAGTAAAAAACGTAGTCGATCTACGGAAAGTCTTACGTAAACTGCATGCGCATCTGTGTTCCGCCATACGGAGTTTTCAAATCACGTAGCTGCCCTTGGCAACTACGAAAGCGGCAGTGTACGACCAGATCGACCTGGGAAGAAAGTCATAAATTTGTACCCCAATCCACTTACGGACCAGCTACGTTATCAGAGCCCTATCTACGTACTCTCCGTAGACAACTTTCCGTAAGTGGAGTGCAAACTCGCGAATTCACGGGTTTTCCCCGCCCACTAACGTAAAGTTGCTCAACTTTACGTAGTGCGGAACCTCTCTAATATGCACGAATTCTCTGTCATTTGTACAACTTTAGCATGCAGTTTCATGCAAGTATACAACTTTGTCGTACAAACTCATGCAACGGTAAGACTTTCTAAATTGTAGTACATTTTCAACATAATGTACTATTTTCTTGTACATTCCCATGAATAACGCGGGTTTTACGCAAAATCTATCGAAAACGCGGATGACAGCCAATAACGCGGAAAATTGCGCGTCCGCGGAATCGCGGTAGCCTGTGGGGACAGACATTCAACAGACACGGCCAGAAAAGTCACCATTCCACCAGAAACCGAGCCTTCACGATTTTGACAGAACCCAGAAAATGTGCTATATCATCTATACTTATGGGTACAAGTGAGAGTATATAACCCCCAAGAGTGTGCAACTGCCTGCACAACCTCTATGCTGTGCTGCGACGGCAGAACTTCACATCACGTGACATGGTTCAAAAGGTTACACTGGCAAACAGTGCAAAGTGACCACAAGAGAGTTGTACCCAAAGCTGGGTTGCGTACAACCCTGTATCAATCATGCACAGAGTGCAAATAATGTGTACGGGTTTCATCACGTGATGTGAAGTTCTGCCGTCGCAGACCCCATAGCTGGAGTTGCACACTCTTGGGATTAAGGTTCATCACGTGATGTGAAGTTCTGCCGTCGCAGACCTCATAGCTGGAGTTGCACACTCTTGGGGTTAAAGAGTGCAAATAATGTGTACGGGTTCATCACGTGATGTGAAGTTCTGCCGTCGCAGACCCCATAGCTGGAGTTGCACACTCTTGGGGTTATGTACTCTTGGTACAAGTAACAGCACACTAGTAGCGGTAAGGCTGACAGAACTCGTCTAACCTCACCACAGGAGGAAAATGTGGCCATTTATCGCATGTCTGCAAAAAAAGATGGCTTGGCATCACTTGATATGACACAATAATAAAAACAGCTTGTATATTACTCAGAATTGAGCTCTACGCATCTGCGAGTGAACAGTTTCATTCATACAATCATGTCACGTGCATGTTGTCAGGTCGTTGCTAGCATTTGGCCAATCAGAGCAGCACCGTATCAGGGCATTATCAGACGATAATGCCCGGGTTCGGCGTACCCATGTCCGTTAGGAATGACCCCAGGCGTACTACGTACGCTGGTGCACTGCCAAATATGTACCAGGCCATGCCTTTTGGGCAATGACCTGGTACATAATTGGCAGTACTCCAGCGCACATAGAACATATGGGACCATTCCTAAGGACACCACATGCACTCGCACACACCACACAAAACGAAACTACTTACGCGCACCGTCCAAAACAATTATATTTTACTAGCAATGCGGACATAGGAGAAGTAATTTATAACAACGTGACAATAGAATGACACACAGCATGTCATTACAATGCATCACTTAATTCAAGTCAATTGAGGCGAACAAGTCAACAGGTGAACATGCATCACAAAGTTACCTATCTAGAATAGATCAGATTGTACCTCGAACTCCTACAACGTATACAGTTACATGTACACTGGCATGTAGCTACATGTAGCTACATACCAGTGTACATGGACCTCAAGTAAACTGACAGCAATGCGAACAAAATCTCAGATGTATGTGAAAAAGTATCATTGTTCTTCCGAATAACAACATTCACAATGTACTCTCAAAACTAGTCTAATTACTAGTGCCACTTGGTCAAGGATGTTTGCGTTCAACGGCAACTCCAAAGCAACAGCGAATCAGCTAACTTCCGTACCGCCCAATAGGCAACACTAACACCAAAATGCGAAGGCATATTCCTGGAACTGCAAGTAAATCTGACACAAACGTTCTATTCTACCACGGAGAAAGCTCCTTCCGATTTTGCTCGACCCTTCATTCATATGACAGCTGATTTGAACTTTCCTCCTCCCATGACCATGTTTACCTTATTTGTCTACAACTAGGCACGTGGCATGTATGAACTATAATAAACACATGGTGGGTCGTGCACCGTAGCCCGCGGCCCTTGGGGTACGGTGCACGACCTCGGGCTACGCACTAAGGCATAAATCAGCCATAATGCCCTCCGTACCATGTGTTATTATATACTTCATGTCTGTTTTTGGCTAAGACAAAGGCTCCAGGAACAGTGACGTTGGCTTTCTTCAGATATGACACATCATTCTCTTCAAATGGGTTCACTAAGCCAGGACCAATGCCATTCATAAGCATACACAGCGGAGCTGGGGGCGAAGACCTTTTATGCAGTGACGTAGCTCAGCTAACCGCCATGAAAAGGCAGACGTTTTCAAATATTCGACTGCACACCTGCCTGTACTGTGCCTGGTTGGGAGAGACGTCCAAATATGGGAGGTCCGGATAAGAGAGGGTCGGCGGTACCTCTCGTAGACTCCAGCACAGCAGCTAACATTGGCCTTCGCCTCCTCACATGGACCAGCGGTACTGCGTTCGGCGTTTAAAAATATCCTTATACGGTGCTCCCCCGTAGCAGTCAAATGATAAATTGACGGTGCTGAACATCATGCAGCATCAGGGATTTCACGGCAGTCGTGACAAGAGACACACCGCTGGTGACAAGCTCCACTGCTATGAATATCACCAGATACGCACTGCAATTGCCCAGCATGCACTGCATCGTGACAATGGACGGGGTTAGTAGCAGAATAGAAACTACTGGAAATGGTACAGAGTTGACGAGACTATGACGAGGTTATGACAAACAACAGGTGCTCCCTTTCCTTGCTGTTCTTTTGCAGGTGGACAGGACAGGGCATTGTCTGCTGAATTTTCCCCACAGACTGCTGTGAGTCGACAGTGGAGCTTCCAGAGGGAAGTACGCACCATCATCATGAGAATATAACATGTTTCCTAAGTCAATCACGCAATCGTATTTTACTATCGGAGTTCGTCTCTGCTGCCTGTCTGTCTGTATTGTACAGCCTGTCGTACATGTATCTGCAGCTACGCTATGGATACGTCATTAGATGACAATTATTGCATGCCAGTATAAATAGTTGAAAAATGCAAGCAGGCAGTCCTACAGAACAATAGTAGTGACTCGCTGCATGCTCTTGAAGTGCCAGCCACACTCACCATTAGAGTTTTTAGCTCTTGCTGGAGCCTGCAACACACACAACAACACCACGGGCAGAAGGGTCAACGAGCTAAGCCGAGATACGCACACCGCAGCCCTGGTGGCACTAACCTTTTCGTGACTGAATGACCGCTGGACGGTCCACCGGCACCTGCTACACCTTTGCCAGGAGCACTGGACGACGGGGCCCTATTCTGCGACGACATTGTCCACTTTGCACAATAGCAAGGATAATTTCGGGTTTGCTTCGTTCAGGAAAGGGATAGAGGAGAAAAATAAGCTGAAGTGAAGTTCAGATACACACAGCGAAACTAGCTGGTGTCTGGAGTAGGTGGCCTGAAAGCACGATCTGCCTTGGTTTGGAAGAACAGGCCAGAAATGGAGCTCACAAACGACACCAATGTTCTTTCACAGAACTAACTTCAACCAAGGATCAAGAAGTGCCACAAGTAGGTAACTTTAGATGAGGAGCAACACTGAAAAGTCCAACCAGTTAGCTCCGTTCACCACTGTTCACTGCTTCACTGCAACTAGTAACTGCCGATTACCTGTGCCGGTGGGATGGGAGTTTGAAATGACGTTGTATCATTTTCGGTCTTTTTGAGACACCGTCTTGCCACATTCTGCACACATCGCAGTCACGTATGCCAAAATTCGAAATTCGAACCTTTTGCCATGGAGAATGCGTTGTCATAGCGTCAGCAGGTAAGAGATGGTCGGATCGCAAAGACTATGCACTGCCGGCACTAGCGCACTTGCCTTGGCTTTGGTGGTGTGACGTGGGTGGGTCCCCAAACACTTTCAAAGTGAACTGAAAATCAGAATCAGAACAAGGAAAGCTGTACTGTGTTTTGTAGCTGCATTCCTTGGCACAATTGTGCACTGTGCACAATTGTGCTGTGCCATTTCAATTTGTAGGCTAGTTCATTCTTGTCTTGGTGGATGCTAAAATGACTGTCGTTGCGTTGCTGCAGCACTTCTAGAATCAGCATTGTCCATCTGTCCATTGCTCATCTGCAGCACAGAATCACTGTTTGTGAAACAGATAATATATTCCGAAAATGTCTTTCCTCGGCGCTCTGCGTAAGAGCCCGCTGTTCAGTGGCTTGGGTAGACGATCCTACACGCCTCCTCTCTCCGTGTCAAGTATGAACCGAAACATGCTAGGTGTACAATATGAAGTTCGTGGCGTCGTCCCGCAGCAGGCCAGGCGTATTCAGGCGGAGTTGCAGAATGTAAGACATTTCGATTCTAGCAGCAGAACACGTGATCATGTAGCTTGGTACATGTATCTCATGCGTGTGTTCATGGCCTGCATGTGTAGAAATGGTGGCAGGATTGCATCATTTCACATTGTCATTGGAGAGCTGCATGACTGTACAAAGTCGTCCATACTCAGTTTCTGGAATTTTTCATAACATTTTTGTCTGTTGTCACACTTTCTGCATGTGTTGTCAACTTTACTTGTCAGAAACAAAACATTACCACATGAGGGCCGTAGCACTGCAATTTCAGATGGTCCGGCCAAATGGCGTACTTGACCAGAAATGGACATTACTCAGTATTGACGAAATCCCCCATTTTCACGACCTGGGTTGGTCAGCCTTTTTCGAAGTAATGTCCGGCCAGACCGGGTGCATGCTACGGCCATCAATATGTAGCTCGTGTAATGTGCCACATGAGGAGGGGGGCAGTGCATGTAATGTCATGCTGTTCACCGATATGATGTGCCACTCATCTGGACCCCGCAGTACGAGTGAACATGCAACGCGAACGCATGAGTTGAGCGATGACATGGCTCACCACTTGAAGTTGCGTTTGTTGAACAGAGTTCAATGATTATGTGCCACGGTCCAGCCGTGCTCATCCGGTTCCTACACAAACTGTCGGGGTATTTGCTGGAGCGGGTTTACGGCAAATACTTGCAGTTCAGTTGAACGTGTTTTAGGTTATCCACTCCCGTTGCTTATTCGCCATGCATTGTCCATGATGTGTGTGTGTGTGTGTGTGTGTGTGTGTGTGTGTGTGTGTGTGTGTGTGTGTGTGTGTACGTGTGTGTGTGTGTACGTGTGTGTGTGTGTGTATGTGTGCATGTGTATGTATGTATTATTGTGTCCATGATGGTGCTGATTCAGGGCAGCACAGAGTACCCGTTCAAGGACATCATCTTTGCCAACATCGGGGACATGCACGCCATGGGACAGACACCGATCACATTTGCACGCCAGGTACGCTAATCACATTTCCTATCAACACGGTTTTCCTAGTGTGACACCTGACAAGCCCCATAAGTCATTGTGGAAGATTGTCTCGTAACATACTGTACAGCCACTGATCACGTACGATGAGACCTCAGCACGAGTATAGAGCACCCTGGATATAACTTAGCCGACCATGATTGCAATCTACTGTCAACCGGGAAACGTTTGCGCCCATTTTTTAGTTCGCGACTTGTAAGCGCAGGCAAACAACTTGCACCTGGAGATGTTTGCAATTCGAGTCAATTTCCTCGTTTTTTACTACAGTTCTACGTTTCGCACCGGCTTACTTTTGAGATTTCACCTCCATCGCGTGTCGAAAGTTCTTGGACTGATTGGGAGGCCAACTGTTCTTGCTTTCAAGTATGTGTGTTGTGTGTGTGTGTGTGTGTGTGTGTGTGTGTGTGTGTGTGTGTGTGTGTGTGTGTATCTGTGTGCATGGCGTGTTCTCTCTGGCAAAGGTTCTATCTCTTTGCATGTTTCCTGACCAACCTGACGGGACGTTTCCGCCGGACGTGCATGAAAGAGCAAAGAACATTCTGGATGCTTGCAGTGGGAGGAGTATAGGTAAGCATGTCACTGTCTGTATGTGTGTGTGTGTGTGTGTGTGTGTGTGTGTGTGTGTGTGTGTGTGTGTGTGCATGTGTGTGTGTGTGTGCGTGTGTGTGTCTCTCTCTCTCTCTCTCTCTCGATCGATCGATCGATTCACTAGCCACAAAAAGGCTGAATAGTGGCGGCCAATTCTTCAGCCTTGCAAGCTGTTGAATGGTGCAATCCCAGCACAAGTTGCCATGGCTTCTGCTGTAGCACAGCTATCATCGTCTCCGGCAATGGGCGTCAAAAGGTCAAACAGTGTGCAATCGCGTGTGTCTCCGAAGTCTAAATGCATTCTGTGCATGCAGAGATTCTGCGCAAATCACCTTGGTGTGTATACGTGATCATTCTGTATGGTGTTGCTTTGCAGGTTCCTACACGGACTCGGCCGGACTGGCCCTCGTCAGACAGGACGTCTGCAACTACCTGGAGAAGCGCGATGGCCGGCCGGTTGATCTGAACCGCTTGTTCCTGATCGCAGGTGCTAGTCAGGGAATCCGAGTGAGTACACTCTAACTAGTTAACTGTGTTCACTGGCTCACTGCCGCCGCGGCCGCCATCTTGCAATGGAAAACATGTCTCTTGAACTCTCTTCTTATCAGTAAAACAGAACTCCCCAGATCCGGGCAGGTTGGACCTAGCACTGACTGTAACTAGGAATTGCCCATAACTCGGAACACATATACATACCTACAGCATGCAGGTAAACACTTTTTAGTTTTGATGTCAATCAATGGCTTCTGGGGCCGTTTTCCGTTGAAGACGATGGCGGGTGTTTCAGTGAACTGCAAAAGAGAGTCGTATTTCGAGGACGCCTCTTTGGAATGTTCTATTGGCTTCTCGCCAATGCTGTCATCGTTGCTGCTGCTGTCGTCGTTGCTGCTGTTGCTCAGGTATTGCTTCAGTTCTTCATGAACGGATCCGGTCAACATCGCAAGAAGCCAGCAATCATGGTGCCGGTTCCTCAGTACCCACTCTACTCGGCTACACTGACTGAACTGGGCGCACATCGGGTAAGCTAACACCGCTCTTGTGTCTCTTGTGTCTCTTGTGTCTACTGTGTCTACTGTGTCTCTTGTGTCTCTTGTATCTACTGTGTCTACTGTGTCTCTTGTGTCTACTGTGTCTCTTGTGTCTCTTGTGTCTCTTGTATCTACTGTGTCTACTGTGTCTCTTGTGTCTACTGTGTCTCTTGTGTCTCTTGTGTCTCTTGTATCTACTGTGTCTACTGTGTCTCTTGTGTCTACTGTGTCTCTTGTGTCTACTGTGTCTACTGTGTCTACTGTAAGTCAACCAATATTCTGCGGCTATTATTTATTTTTGGCTATTTTCGTCCTGGGCATTTCAATATCGGCCTAAAATGTGTTGCGCCCGAAATTTTGTTTTGCAAGGTTCAATGTGACAGTGTATTCAGGCAGCAGCAGTACAGGCAGAAATTTTAATGCGGCCAAAATGTGTTTTAGCCCTGGGAGGCCGACATTTTTGTGGCCTTACAGTTACTGACGGCCGATGTCCATAGTGTACATTGGCTGACTGGAGATTGGATAGTGTTTCATGATGAGTGACAACTTGTCCTGCCCCAACCATAGGATTACAGTGTGCGCGCGTGTGTGTGTGTGTGTGTGTGTGTGTGCGTGTGTGTTTTCATTCTCCTGGGTGGCTACCAACAGCCAGTGCATGCCGGAGTATGTGGTGTGATGTGTGTGCGGGGAAAAAAATGAAAAAGAGCAAAAAGTAGGGATTCACTTTCTAGAAAATGCCACTTTGAATAGTTGTGTGGTGTAGACCAGGCTGAATAGTGGCGGTCAATCCTTCAGCCTTGCAAGGTGTTGAATGGAGCAGCAATCCCAACACAAGTTGCTATGGCTTCTGCTGTAGCATCGCTATCATCGCCTCCGGCGATGGGCGTCAAAGGTCAAGGACAAAGGTGTGTGTGTGTGTGCATGCATTCTCCGTCATGTGTGTGTGTGTGTGTGTGTGTGTGTGTATTCAGATTGACTATTACCTGGATGAGAGTTTAGGCTGGAAGCTGAGCGTAGACAATCTGTACCGGTTGTTGGAGGAGAACAAGGACGAGTACGAGACACTCTGCTTGGTTGTGATCAATCCTGGGAACCCTACAGGTAGGTAGCACCGACGCTGGCCTAGCATCAGTCCACCCATGCATTGGTCATACAGGCTATTGATGTGTGCTGCATATGCCAATGGGTGCATATGCATGCATCACCAATAGGTGGAGAAAATTCATGTAATTAATACTGTGAGGCCTGTCTATGCTGACCGCTCAAGGAACCTGCGAACTGTTGTCCCCCGAGTGGTCTCCTTATCCAGGGTCATTTGACTGGGAATAGTATCCCTTGATCCTGGTTTCAGTGGTCTTTTGGGACAGGTGGTCTTTTGGGACAGGTGGTCTTTTGGGACAGGTGGTCTTTTGGGACAGGTGGTCTTTTGGGACAGGTGGTCTTTTGGGACAGGTGGTCTTTTGGGACAGGTGGTCTTTTGGGACAGGTGGTCTTATAGGACAGGTGGTCTTTTGGGACAGGTGGTCTTATAGGACAGGTGGTTGCCTTATCAGGTGTTACTGTACCTGCAAAACCTCCCTTCTAATTCCTCATCCTCATGATATCTGTACATGTTCTGCCGCTGAATGGGGAGAGGTTGTCCCTTGTTCAAGTACAGTCTGCATGATCTCTGCCGCTTCGGTGTCTTGTTGCTGTGTCCACTGCTGGCATGGTGGTGACATGACAATTAAATGAGCATGTTGCTGTGTCCCCACCCTACAGGGCAAGTGCTGACTAAAGACAACATGAAGGATGTACTCCACTTCTGCCAGAAGAACAATGTTTTCCTTCTAGCCGACGAGGTGAGTTGGTGAGATCACCGGTCGAAAAGGCTTACTGCTGAGCAGTACTGGTTCGAAAAACGGTCGTCAGGTGGTCGCTAAACACAGAAGTCGCTTACACCAGGTTTTACTGTACAGTGAAACCTGGTTAGGAAAAACACTGATAAGAACACTGATAAGAACACTGATAAGAAAATTGTTTGCTTAAGAAGAACTAGTGTTCGTAACTGTATTGGATAAAACCATGTGTATTCACTGGATAAAACATATGGAAAAGAAGACCTCCCGTTATTGCGAACAAATATCATCGGTCCCTTGATGTTCGTCCTAAAGAGGTTTGACTGGAGTTGTAATGGTCCGAGTGGAGGAATGTAGAATGATTTTATTTGAAGATTCCAATGCTGCAGCATACGGTCATGGCCAAAGAATGGCTGTCCCTCTTTTGTGACATGCGTGGCTTACAACTGACTGTGTGTTGCCATCATGCAGGTCTACCAGGACAACGTGTATAACTCAGACAGGCGTTGCTACTCCTTCAAGACCATCCTCAACTCCATGGGTGATGAGTTCAAGGACTTTCAAATGGCGGCGTTTGACTCGACGTCAAAGGGCTTTCTCGGAGAGTGAGTTTACGTCTTGAACGGCGGTTTCTTGCTTGCAGTTCTTGTTTCCTTGTTGAGCTGTTTGCCTCCTGTGTGCTGTGCTGTGCTGTGCTGTGTGTGTGTGTGTGTGTGTGTGTGTGTGTGTGTATTACTGTGTGTGTGTGTGTGTGTGTATTACTGTGTGTGAGTGTGTGTACATGTGTGTGTGTGTGTGTGTGTGTGTGTGTGTGTGTGTGTGTGTGTGTGTGTGTGTGTGTGTGTGTGTGTGTGTGGTGAGTGTGGTGAGTGTAGTTGTGTGTGTGTGTGTGTGTGTACATGTGTCTGTGTGTGTGTGGTGAGTGTAGTTGTGTGTGGTGTGTTTGTCCTTTTCGTAAAGTACCACTGCCTGTTGTGTTGCTGAGCAACCACACAGCAGGAGCAAGATGTGCTGGCGAATGTTAGTGTTCGACAATTTCATCAGAGTGCTAATGAAGTTTGTGTGTGTGTGTGTGTGTGTGTGTGTGTGTGTGTGTGTGTGTGTGTGTGTGTGTGTGTGTGTAGGTGTGGTTTCCGAGGTGGCTTTATGGAAGTTGTCGGCTTTGAAGATGATTTGCTTGCTCAGCTGCGTAAGATCATGAACACGAAGCTATGCCCCGGGACGACTGGCCAGGTATGTATATTTACGATGTGTGTGTGTGTGGGGGGGGGGGGGGGTATGTGTTTGGTGATGGTGTGTGTAATTTCACCTGGAATGTTTGTGTGTTCGTGACTTCTTCAAAACCTTGAGCGACTATTTAGTATTTAGTTGAGTTTTTCACAACCACGTCGGAACACAAGCGCGTGCGCGTGAGCCAACATTGGTACTGTACGAGGCTGAGCTGTACGGGTGAGTCCGCTTACATAATCTCTGGCATTGTTTTCTGCTCACCTCAGATTGCTGTCAGCTGTGAAGTGAACCCGCCCAAGGAGGGAGATCCGTCTTATGCCGTCTTCAAGCAGGTTAGTAGCACTTTGTACAGTTGCGCTCGTTGAAATCCGACCCAGAGTGCACATGTGGCGCCCGCAACTTGCACGGCCCTTGACGCCCTGGAAGTGCCACACATACGGCTGGACGTACACATGTACAAATACAGTGATGTAATCAGAACTGGTCCAGGGCGTCAGCTTTGCACTTTGGGTTGGATTTCACAGAGCGCAACTGTAGCTTTGCAGGCGCACGGAACAGAGTACAGAGCACATGACGACTGTGAGCTATATAATTATGGTACAGACGAACACGAAAAAGAGAAATAGGTCCAGTTTGGATTTTTCCTGACTCAAAGTTTCATGCCACTGCAATCATCAGACGACTGATAATAAAAACCTAAAACTACAGTAATCGTTATGGGGTTTTGTGCATTGAGCTCTTTGCCGGCAATTGCCAAAATTTCTCCCTTTGTAATTATGGTACAGATGTACCTTGTGTATGCCTTTACTATCCTGGTGCCATATGCAGTTGGTATTACCACGAGGCAGCTCGGTTCTCCACTTCACTCATAGTTGCCGATGATGAGGGTATTTCAATGTGGGGTTTGTGTGGGTAATGTCGAACATAACAACTAAATGCTCCTCTCTCTCTCTCTCTCTCTCTCTCTCTCTCTCTCTCTCTCTCTCTCTCTCTCTCTCTCTCTCGTCTGCAGGAAAAGGACACAATTATGAATTCTCTCGTCCTGAGAGCGGAAATTGTTAGGAGTCGCCTCAATGCCGTTGAGGGAATTTCCTGTAATCCAGTTGAGGGTGCCATGTACGCTTTCCCCAACATTACTATTCCACCAAAGGCAATCAAAGAAGCTGAGGTATGTAGAGTATTGTTATCACACGCATGACTTTGTGGGGGAGGGGGTCATCAGCCTTACAAGATTAGTTCCTTGAACGAATTTGTGTGGTATTTGAAGATGACGTACATACTTACTCCGGTACCAAAACTCCGTGACTCTTGTATGCACATCCCAAGCAATTACTGTGCTGAAGAGAGTTGACTCAGTGGAACAAAAACACTTCAAGACAACAAGTGGATGTAATTCTTTGAAGTATGTATGCTTTTGTGCAAAAGCAATCGGCACTATTTGCTTCTCACTCTGCGTTACCATTGCTCTATTCCCTCAATTCTTCTTTCACCAGAGCTGAGAGGTCGATGGAAATCACAAAATGTTGTTGCTGGAGGAAGTACAGTCATGTGCCGTAGTGTCTTGTATTAAAGCCTGTCACATACTTCAAAGCCTGTTTTGAATAGAAGCCTGATTTCAAGATACACTGTCAGCACATATGCCTGGTTTTAGTGTTGACATACATAGAAATACCTGCCTCGTATAGAAGCCTGTCTCATGTAGAAGCCTGCAAAATTTCCCGCAAAAGTCATATAATTATTCTCGGCTTTTATACACGACTTTATGGAATCTGGAGCTCCATCTGCGCCTTGATCCAAGAGGGTGGTGGCGTTCCTGCGGATGCGGAAAGATGGGCATTTGGCCGAGTCTCACGCAAACCGTGATTTTTTTTACGTTATCTGTCTATGAAGTGTTCTGTTACAACAAGACAGCTGGCAACACATTGGTGATGTCTGACCTGGTGTTCTTCTTGTTCTCCTGCACAGTCTCGTGACTTATCTGCCGATACATTCTACTGTCTGGAGCTACTGAACGAGACCGGCGTGTGTGTGGTGCCTGGCTGTGGCTTCAATCAAGCGCCGGGCACGTATCACTTCAGGTACGTGTACAGTTGTGGAAAACATGCACCTGCGGCGTGTGTCACTCTGTTGCGTTGTGTAGGCGTCATCACTGTGCATCGTAACGATTCGTTGTTTGCATGCACCGTCATCACATGTACATGTACCTACTTCTGAAATGTTTTTCACCGATTTGTCATTTTAAATTATTAATCAAGCACGCATGCACGCGCACACAATTCTTCTTCGAACTTCTTTGCCGTTGTGTTGATGATGATTTCCTTTGCTGGCTTACACGTCAGTACTAGAATACTCTTTTCGGCAAGTCCTGATTTTGGCAGCTCACCCTTCACGTTTGGTCTTCATGTATTTCTGTGTCACAGGACTACCATTCTACCACCGGAAGATCTTCTAACGGACATGATGGATAGGATTGAGAGGTTCCACAACAGCTTCACACAGAGGTATAGCTAATACTTGACGACGTACAATGTACTAGTATCACACCGTTTGTCCACGCTACACACCACCATTACCACGCCAGAGGATGCCCTCTAACACACACACACATACGCGCGCGCACACACACACACACACATAATCACGCACGCGCACACATAATCACGTTCGTCCATGTCACGCATCGGCAGTGAATAGGCGCTCTGGTAGCAGGCTTACTTACCAACACAGGTCCCATCTTGAATGGATCCCACGTCGCCTACAGTGGCCCTACGCACTCAATAGACGCCACCACCATCCATCAGGTCATTCTCCTGTTTATATTCTGTGTTGTCGCTGATTCTGGCCGGCAGTTTCTGAACTAGTTTCGACGCTGTGCCCCTTGGCCAAGTGCCTAGAGCTAAATGCCCTAGCTGTCAGTGCACTGCAGTCTATATAAGGACATCTCTAAATGTACATATCCTCACCTAGTAACCATGGTAACATCCCCCCCCCCCCCCCCGATCCCATGATAAACCGCAAACAGAGTGGGGGCTAATTCTAATTCCATTATCAGTTATATTTTTAGCGCTTTACTCTTTGCCCGTGGTGCAAAATTAGCGTGGATAGTTGTGACACTTATTTATTCTTCTTGTCGTGTGCAAAGCACTCACAAAGTCAAACAGCAGACGATCGACAAAGCTCTGTTGCGTTGAGACTGGACGCTACTATGGATTCGTATTTTGTTGAGCTGGCTGGCTGGCTTATTCCTATCTCTGATCTCTGCCTCAGCTCTCTTATTTTATGTGTTCTGTCTTCTTTTCGGGAAAAAAACTTGTTGCAGTAACTAGTCTAGTGTTTTAGTTTTGTTCTTAGTCCGTACTCTATTAAACCAATTTCTTTGCGGTGTGTAATATTTCAACTGCCCAACCCTGGTCTATCCACTCAACTCTGTTGAGATTATCACAATAATAATGGTCATGTTACTGAGAGAGAGAGAGAGAGACGTCCATAAGATGATGATACAACAATGAAGATGAGAACTTGTCTGGCCGTGTGTGTGTGTGTGTGTGTGTGTGTGTGTGTGTGTGTGTGTGTGTGTGTGTGTGTGTGTGTGTGTGTGTGTATGGGCCAAGAGTGTCGCTGCAGTGATCGATTGTGAAAGAGAGCACCTCACTGGTCTCCCGGCAGGCAGGGGTGCCTACGCACGCACACACACACACACACACACACACACACACACACACACACACACACACACACACACACACACACACACTTGTACTTGTTGCTCACTGCCAAAACTGGTCACGTGGGTCTCCCCGGTAGAGGGGAGAGAGACTCAAAAGGAATCTTGGAAAGATGACTCAATTGGCTATTGAACCGCCCAACGACCGACACCCCCTGAAATCCCCAAAACTCTGGGTGAACTTGAAAATGATGCCACGTATGGGCTCACCACACCTCGGTAAGTGGGTGAGGACAAGGTGCAGAAAAAGGATTGACGGCATCAGGGTATCCGTCCCGGGATCCAACTGCAGTTACCCCTACCCCCAGTGAAGGTAATACTTGCTACTAGTGTGGGTGGCTAAATCAGAGTGGATCTGATACAAGCTTCACTAGCACCATGATTACACAAGAGTTAATCTAGCCAGAAGTAGGCCATGGTTAACAGGTATGTATACTTCAAATAGAAAGCACAAAACACACACACACACACACACACACACACACACATGTGCTCCCGATCGCGTACACAATCAAGCGCTGCATTGACTCACATGCATAATAGTATTGATCCTACTTCGATCTGAGTAAAGTTTGAGAATAAAATATCACAAAGTCCACACCTTCCATCTGCCTTCCCTTGGTTCAAGGGTTGCTGGTGTGTGTGTGTTGATAATTTAAAACAGAAGGTATATAGCAGAGCTGCACTACTGCAGATTTGCGGCTGGAAGGTTAGTGTAATTCCGTTTAGGGAGTTTCACAACACCCTGGGTGTGTGTGTGTGTTTGTACATGTACTCCCGAGTTCCAGTACAGTGTGTTGGTATTATAATCTCACACAACACCCCAGAGCACTATAGTCGATGCAGCAGAGTTTTTGCACAGCACATGGGTAGTTCAAACACATCAGCTACACCCATAGTGACGTACGGAAAGCTGGACTGCAAAGCTGAAGTAACAAGTAGACACGACTGGGAAGACATCATATGGTTGAGATATTGGCTTCGCTCATTGACTTGGGCGTGTAGCGGTGACGCTGGCGGATGCGCCGCACGATGATGTTGTGCTCGCGCCGCTTGTACACCGTTATCACCGTGGTGACCGACACGAGCAGCGCCACGCCCAGAATCACGACGGCGATGATGCCGTCACTCTGCAGACTCTCTACGTGCACGCCCGGCCCACCGTCGCCGCCATCCTCGTCGCTGGTCTTGTTGCCATTGTCCGCACCCTCACTGGACACCGCCTCTGCAATGCCTGGCGACTCGTTTAGGTTGTTATCTAGACAGTGACATCGTGTAGAGCAATAGTGGATGTTACCAAGGTTACAGGTGCCTCATGTACCACCAGTGCACACCGGGAACCCACCAAGTGGTATTACCGTAAAATCCCGCCAGAGCGCCCCTACCTCCACAACCCTTCGAGTAGTTCCCAGTGGGGAAGGGCGGATGGGCGAGTCCTACTTGCCGCATTCAGTACTGCATGAAAGGTACTCGCCATACGAAAACTGTGCGTGAGTCTCGCACACCGGCCAAAGGGCAAGAGCAGGGAGTCGTACAGACCCATCAGAACCCAGGTTTTGCGTGTTCACTGGCCAAGAGGGTGTGAACTGTTGCGTACATTTCCAACCGAGTCGAGCACGCACCTGCAGTGCAGTACAGCATCACACTTCACAGAGTCATGCGAGGATTCATTTCCCCGACAAGACGTCAGGGAGGGGCGCATGGGAGAGACGGGGCGCTCTGGCGGGAATATCAGGTAATAGCACATAAACCAGAGTCGCAAGTAACGAGCTCCAGACAGCTGTGGACAGTGGAATTTGTCGTGTACACTAGAGTCGCTCGCCCAAGAACTTGAAGCCTGAGCTGCTAAGAGCGTCACAGCCTAAATCTAAGAATGGTGGTGTCGGTTTTCTGGCAGAATTCGAGATACATTACGGAGGATTAGCAAGAAGAAAATTCGCGTTCGCGTTCGCAAACATTTTTCAGTTAGCGAACTGGATTGCGAACTTTCGCATTTTTCGTTCGGAAAAGTAGTCGGAACACGAATCGCGGATTCGTGTAAGGACAGTCATAAATTTACTACGCTATACTGTCTGCAGACTCTGCACACAATGGACGACGTGTCAACGTCATGCATGTGCGAAGTCTGTTTGCTAATCCTTCTCATAACGCGAATTCCGTCACTGAGTTCGACTTTCCTTGGAGAGCGAACGCGAACGCGAATTTCGTCTTGCTAATCCTCCGTATTATGATCCAATATGAAATGTTTCTGCTTGAAGTAAGAGCGTGCTATATTAAGAACGCAGCCTATTGGGAGCGTATTTCCTCTCGGTATGACAATTGTCAAATCGAGTGAATAGAACCTGGCTCAAAGGACTGGCTATTCCAATGAACTGCCAAGAGGTATCCTCAATTTTCAGGTGCCTCATTGACTGCATGTGCTTTGGGGGTGGATCCACGGTATCAGTGTCTGCTCCAGGATTGTAGGACAGCCGGGTACACGTGTACCTGGCGCAACCATTTCAACCGGGTGGGAGCCCGGTACACATGTACGCCCAATGATCTAAAGGCGAATGGATAAGCCGCATTTAGAAAAGAGAGGACAGGAGTTAGAAAAATTACGAAAGAAGAAGAAGTATCTGACACATACAACGATACAAGCCATGTAGTCAGTCCTTTCAAAGTTCGAAGTGTAAAGTACCAACCGGGTCACAGGTGACCCGGTACTATATTTTCAACCGGGTCCAAGCGCCGCCCAACCGGGTGGATTACCCGGCTCACCCGGCGCTGGAGCAGACACTGGGTATACACACACGCATACACACACGCACGCACACACACACACACATGCGCATACACATCAGGCCGGAGATAATCGAAATAACTCGGCAGGATGTACTCTGCTCATTCTTGGAGGGAGGGGGGGGGGCACACTCACCTAGATATCGTCCAAGCAGGGTGGTGCAATGGGGCTGACCTGCTTTCAACGAGTGCCGCTCCATGCGACAGGAGAGAGCGACAGCAGACGTGATGCCGTCACGGTTAATGCCCAGCGCGATCCATTCGCCAGTGAGCAGGCACTGTGATAGCGTAATCCAGTCCGGGAGAGTCTCGATGCCTGATGACGATACACCGTCGATAACCCAGACAGGAGTCGGTGTGTATCCGGGGGAATTGTGTGCTGCTGTCCGTGGCTCCAAGCCAGTGCACGTGGCATTCACAGCATCCCCGCTGTCATCCACTGTTATCACCGTCGCTTGCCAAGACACTATGGCGCCGTCAGAGCCGATGTTGCTTGGGGAATTCCCCGTGATGACATCATAGGTGATGACCGGCTCTGGGCTATCTGTGGTGTCATTGCTGGTTGGCATGGAGACGCAGGAGAACGTCTGTCGACCGGCACGTGGGAACACAGTCAGTGACCTCCTGTGAAAGTGCTGCTCGATTTTCTCTCCGGTTCCCGTCAGGATCAGATCGAATGTATTTCCTTTGGTTTGATACGGCAAGCCCTCGTTGGCAGCTGAATCAAGTGGTCCGCCATTACTCCACCACTGGTAGTCCAGCATGGCGGCCGAACTCCTACTATTGGCTGCGGCTGTATCAGGACTGGCTGGGCTTGTGTACCAGCATGACAACTCAGCAGCACCGTTAGCCTGGCTGTGTGCAGTGTGTGTGCTGATCTGCTGCCGGTGAACTAGAGCTGCTGTTCGATCAGCGATGCTGCGATTGCTGCCGGGTAGATCTGCATGCCGCAGCACAGAAAGTAATACTAGTTTAGATGTGTGGTGTGATGTGAACCCAATACTGTCCCGACACAATGCCACTATGCTCACATGTGCGCCCACATGCGTGCACGCACACACACACACACGCGCGCGCGCACACACGCACACGCGCACACACATCATTTCGATTGAGTTTCGACTATTGGACACCGAGGTTGAATCGGATACATGTAACAGGCATCATACCCGTCGGTGAATTTCAAATTACGATACATCAGCCTAGGTTTGTTCAAACCACTCACGATCCTACAATAGGGAGGTTTCGCTCTACGTAATTACGTATGAAAATTCGTATGTCGTACGCGCCGGGGAGGGAGGGCAACTTACATACAAAAATCTCTCTATGGATTTCCGTAGGAAAGCCCTTTCCTACGTTGGGTCCTCCGTAGGACTTTTTGAAATATTTTTTCGCATTTTCCGCATTTGTCCATGGCAACGTACGTTCAAGCCGCGCAAAACACAAGGTACACACACCGTACACCACGTGCAAAATATAATGGAAAACGCGGTTTCGGTTCATGGTGCATGCCGTGGGCGCATGCAGCCAACACGTCTCCAAAGCAACAACGCATGTTTAGCAGTCGTGGAGAAATCACGTAGAGCGAAACCCAACAGCTCTGATTTTTACATATGAAAATTCCATGCAGTTCCTACGTTATTTTCAGACGTAATTCCGCAGAGCGAAACCTCCCTACGGCCATGAATTATTGACGGCTGGAGTGTAGACTCTGTAGAGCGTGTCTGAATAACAGGGGCGGATCCAGGGGTTCCGCGGAACCCCCTAAATTTCGTAAATGCAGGACTGCCGAAAGGAGTTTCCAATTGGTCCGGTCGTACCAAAGTCTTTCATACGTTGTATATAGTCTGGCGGGGACGTACTTGTATGCCCTCCTCACCAGTAAACATGCATTGGTAGCTACAAAGTTGGTCCGGTGGTGTTGACCTGACCAACCTGACCGGCGGGGACGTACTTGTATGCCCTCCTCACCAGTAAACATGCATTGGTAGCTACAAAGTTGGTCCGGTGGTGTTGACCTGACCAACCTGACCGGCGGGGACGTACTTGTATGCCCTCCTCACCAGTAAACATGCATTGGTAGCTACAAAGTTGGTCCGGTGGTGTTGACCTGACCAACCTGACCGGCGGGGACGTACTTGTATGCCCTCCTCACCAGTAAACATGCATTGGTAGCTACAAAGTTGGTCCGGTGGTGTTGACCTGACCAACCTGACCGGCGGGGACGTACTTGTATGCCCTCCTCACCAGTAAACATGCATTGGTAGCTACAAAGTTGGTCCGGTGGTGTTGACCTGACCAACCTGACCGGCGGGGACGTACTTGTATGCCCTCCTCACCAGTAAACATGCATTGGTAGCTACAAAGTTGGTCCGGTGGTGTTGACCTGACCAACCTGACCGGCGGGGACGTACTTGTATGCCCTCCTCACCAGTAAACATGCATTGGTAGCTACAAAGTTGGTCCGGTGGTGTTGACCTGACCAACCTGACCGGCGGGGACGTACTTGTATGCCCTCCTCACCAGTAAACATGCATTGGTAGCTACAAAGTTGGTCCGGTGGTGTTGACCTGACCAACCTGACCGACCGGACCGGTTCTGGCGGGCCTGAAATGTATTACTGGTAACCATATGCCGCATGTCCATGTACATGTATCGGCTATTCAGTTTTTGAGTTTTTTTTTACTATACTGCATGGAACTCCCCTGTAGAGATTGCTGAATGTGTCGCCCTGAACAACCCTCATGCACATTGACGTCACATACAAATTCCCGTAGAATCCCGTAGAATCCCATAGAATCCCATAGAGCCAGCTGAGTTTTAGAATGTACAGGACCCTACCCTATTGTCACTTGGTACTGTGTTGGAATGGACTCGGATGGAGAGCCAAGGTTTAATTTATACATCGCATGAGCTGATTGTTTAGTAACTGGTGGTGTTAGTGGACAGTATAGCGTAACGTGTAGTTCCTTGGTCCTTTCTCTTTTGTATAGTATTGTGTTGTCTGTATTTTCGATTACGAAACGTTCCCTTCAGGCATTTCATGCAACCACTTTTTTCGGACGAAGATCTAGCTAGTCATTAGTTCTATCCAAACTGATGAAGCTGGAAAAGCGACTGTCTGCCACAAAGTGTTGGGCTAAATTGGTCAAATGCGCATGTAAGCAGTACACAATGAACACCCAACCATGCATGTACACACCTACGGGAATCCGTACATCTGTACAAGATGATGTAATGTGCATAAGAACTACACTCGACTTCGCTAATAACGACTTCAGATATAACGACAATTCGCAAATGACGACAAAATTTCCATGCCCAGAGCAAAGTCCCATCTAAATGTAATACATATAATGAGACTTCGGGTATAAGGACACTTCGCGAATAAGGACACTTTTCTGATGCCCCGCTGAGTGTCGTTATACGCAAAGTTGACTGTATACTCAAACATTCTGTACTGTAGCTGGATGGTCGTCTTACCTGCGTCGAGGAGCAGAATGAACATACACTTGGCCAGCAGTCCACCGCTCTTGTCATGGATCATAGCCGTGTACAGATCCTGGTGGTGCAGTGATAGGTTGGGAATACGCAGTGTACTGTTCATGTGCAGTGCAGCTACCCAGGCACTACTGCTAGCCGAAACAGGCTGATGGCTGAACACCACGGTGGAACTGGAAGCAGCAGTGGAGGAAGTCGTGCCGTCGGTGCCATGCGCCGACGCGTGCACTGGAGCGGATGGCGCGAACGCTCGATGCCACCGCCCACGCCAGTGTCCCGATCTGAGCACGTGCCGTTGCTGGGTGGTGTGCGAGCAGTGCAGTCGTGCCGTGCTGCCTCGGGCGTACTGGACCACTTGCACAGCTGCCGTCATGACGATAGTGGTAACATGCACAACACACACACACACACACACACACACACACACACACACACACAGTGTACGCACACACACACACAGAATACAGTATAAACCTGTGACTAATGACCAACCCTTGGGGCCAGAGAAAGCGGCCTTTAGTGGCAGGTGGTCCTTAGTTGGAGGTTTGCACCGCACGACCATACATGAATGTGAGACAGTCCATGCCTGGCGAAGTGGTCTGTAGCACCAGGCTGGTCGCTAGTCACAGTGCATGGCCTTTAGTTACAGCTTTTACTGTGCATGTAGAGTTTAGAGAGAAGGCCGCCGCACGTAGCAATATTTTGTGATCACCTCGGAGGGGGCACAGGACACGAATACAGCACACTCCCAATAAAGTGAATATGGCGGTTTAGGAAGGTACTGTCCGGGGTTACCAAGGCAACTGTTCTTTTTCAAAATAGATTGAAATCGTCAATGCTACCGTACTGTACAGGCACAATGCATGGTCTGTCTTGTCAACACCCCCTACGCATGCAGCATGCAATGGGTCAATGTAGGCACTTAATATCTCGATAATAAAAAGACTAATAATAATTGTAGACTACTGCACTCGCTGTTTCATTGCAGCTACAGTTCAGAAAAGATTAATGACTGAATGGGCCTACACGAATTGACCATGCTGTGCTCCAGGTGTATAGTAATGCAGATTTGCACACCCATACACAACCTACCCCAGCAGCCGCCCCCTGCTCATTTCCCAAGCTGGCAATAACCTTGCACTGCTAGAGGTTTGGTTTGGTCACTTTCAGGCACTTGTGGCAGTCAGACTAGTTTTTGAACAGACACCCGGACTTCCCAGAGGTGCCACATCTACTTGTCAAGCAGGAAGATCTCAGAGATCCGACTTGTTCATGTTTCCATGCTAGCACAGCTGTTGTGGCAAGTGTGCTAATCATGCATGCACAGAGTCAGACAGACCAGTGGTGCACTCCTGGACCTTGGGCTTGGTGTGGCGGCTACTCTTTTCCTATGCCAAACCTGGACTTTCAACTGGCTGGATGGAGATTTCCTACGCTAGGAGGACCACAGACGACCTCTACCATAGAATCATCGAAGTAGTTGGCAGGTCTGCACTCCGCATACATGAAAGAGAAATACGGAACTGATCGACATGACTTGTCATCCACTCCTTACCTTCTGTATCCTGCGCTGCGGCACACTGGAACTGGGCAGCGAGACTTGTAACTGCTAAGGTGGTTAGAAGGTATGCTATCGCTACTACTCTGCTATCTGCCTCTCTCCGTCTGCTGTTGCATTGTCTCCACCATTTCGCTGGTCTGCAGTTGCTGTGGCGGTGACGTCCGTACCGTGCTTCGACCAACCCTAGCATATCTTCGTCCGCAACGTTGCGTGAAACCTCAGAACTCGACGGCTAACTCGCGCTGACACACTGTCCAGGCGCTGAGCTGATTGCTATGCTAACGGGAGCAGGGGTTCCTTTCCGAAGTTCTGCGACAAGAAGAGCTTCGTCTTTTTCACGACCGAGCAGCTGCCTTCGAAGGTTTTGCGTTTGTTTGTGCTACATACTAGTAGGCGAAGAACTTAGCGTTGTTCCCGGGCACATGAACTGAACTGTACGCTGTTCGTCCGCTGCTCCACTTCTCTACAGCTCCTCGTCCTGTCCGCCTGGGCCGCACCTTAGTGCTTAGATCAACGTACTCCATGCTGGCCATTGCAGTTTGCTCGCCACTTTCTCAACAAGCCGGGACGAAGGGTCAGAGATACAAGACTGTATGCAGACTCCATCGTCTTTGACTTGACGGAGCAAGCAACACGTGGCTGGACCTGAGCGCATGAATTATTATAATTTGCGCGCCGGTCACCGTCAGGAAGAGAGTCGATGCTGAGCGCACGGCTTGTTCAGATCTCGTTGAGCGCGCGCTCGACTTGAGCACAACTCTGCAGAGGTTCTAGGTATGGTCGGATACGCGGGCTAAATCCATCCAAAGCAACCTAATGCAGAAATGCACCGAATACACGAATATGTCCAAACCAGTGTTATTGATGGTCAAGACCGTACCAGCGACTCGTGGAAGCCTTCATCAGACCCGATCGACGCGTCGTCTATATAACGAGATCTACATAAGTACAGTGCAAGCTCGAGCTTCGCAACTACATGATTGTACATTTTGTAAGTCCTTCCTGCCGTCTGAAGAAGACTGAGCGACCCAGCCGAGTTGCAACACGAGGAGGATTTGCTTGACCATCGGAAACGCGCGTGTAGACTCTACATTACGCCATGCATGCATGGTCCGGCCGTGGCCGTGGTGGCCGTTGGTCGCCGCGCTCAGGAGAGCGAGACTATGCTCATGTCATGATGTTGCTATCGTTAGAGACATGGAGCTTTTCCGAGGTGGAGTCTCGATGGCAGGAGAGGAAAGACTTTTTTTAAGGTGGCTCACACCCTCTGCGCGCGCATCGTTTGAAAAGTGTAGATTTTCAGTAAATTTTTCGGTAGCGATGATTTTTGTGCGATCAATCGTTGTAGGAAACGTCTTCTCGCTTTTCTGCAATTCTGGCGACCTAGCTAGAACCTGCTGCTAGTGTCCCTCTTCACTCGTTCTTTCTATGAAAGGGAAAGGCAGCACTCGCAGAAGATTTTCCAAGAATGCAATGTCGACTGGTGCTCGTACTATCAAAGTCCGCTCTTGAATCACGCCTGAGTCTTAGAAAATTATTTCAGAATACGCTTGTGTAGATTTCCTGCCAGTGCCACTGACATCTCGCGACCTTCAATTATAACTTGCTCGATCATCTCCCGCACTGACTGGTAAATTCGTCGGGTAGCTGTGGATGGATCGATTCAGGGAGATCGAAGGTAAATACATCGAAGCACTTCAAACACGTTTCAAGACGCACTTCAAATTTTGTAATTGTGTCTTGAAAATTGTTTACAACAATTCGTACTTCAATACGCTGTTGAATTGTATCCTCTGCTTGGGAGTCTCGACTGTGTTATTGCTGCATGGCTTTCCTCAACACCGTTCACTGTACATGTATCACGGAATGCAGATTGGATGGCATTGGAGGTGAATTTGATAATTTGTGACTGTGTCATCAACCAAGTCAGGACATCAAAATGGGACGCTCCGAAAATCACAAACGCTGCGAAATAGGTATGAAATGGTCTTACACACTGGTGGGTATTCCACATTCATTGTGTCATATCTTTAGACTGTCCGAAAGTTTGTCGTGCCGTGCAACTTTCACTGACTAATCCGATAATTGGCATGTGGCCCTATCGGCACACACTCATGCGTATGCCGCTGAGTCTATCTATATGTGCACGCACATGTGTGTATACTTACACAATTTTATTACGTATGCAAAATTAGGCAATCTACATGTACATATATATAATTATTCCCGTAGCTATGCAGAAGACGTTACTTCAGTAACGTCTGGCGCTAGCCAGGGTCCACACAGCTTTAATTTGGTGTTTGTTTGTTTGTGTGTTTGTTTGTTTGTGTCACGCCTGGCGCTATCCCGTATCTGTCCCGTACCGTATCGCACAGCTGGCCATTTGCTGGCTCCCGTATCTGTCCCGTACCGTACCGTACCATCAAACACAGCTGGCTACAAACAGCTGGCAACAATATTGGTCGTATTATGTACATGTACATGTATACGACTCCCTGTGTGTTGCAACTGTGCTTGAAGGGGACGGTTGCACTTTTTGTAGCTCCGTTTTATCTGAGTTTTCAGTCGTTCCTCTTACTAGTCTTGCCAAGGGGGTGGCTCTGGGTCCACCAGAGTCGCCCCTGGCGTGTTTCTGAATTTGCTGGGGCGAGGGTTACGCGACGCGGTCGCCAAGGCAGTGTCTTTTCAGTCACGACCGTTGTCGTCCTCGTCTCTCCATTCTTGGTGGTGTAGCTGACCCCCGAATGGTTTCAAACTGCGAAGCTCGGAGGAGTACAGTGGTGGCAGAGGCATGAGCTGTGAGTGGAGACGGTTGCTGGAGATGGATGGTGATGCAGGGAGAAGAGTTACGCTGCCTGACGCCGCGTGGGAAATTGTTTGAACCTGCAATTTCAGTTCGAGCGCGCTGGACTTCTAGACGATGTGTCCTCATGGCTGTTTTTCAGCGCTTGGCCTATCGCTGATATCCCTGCGTGGGATGTTCTTCCAGTGGAGTCCAGGTGGGACTTCGGGTGCCCACACTCCATCACCTGGTTGATTGTTTCGGAACTGCAAAAATAATTATTGTTTCCTATTTTGTGCGCATCTCTTGTCATCTCTCTTTTCTATACGTCGCACACCAGATGTACTACTAGGGAGGAGTACAGTGGTGGCAGAGGCATGAGCTGTGAGTGGAGACGGTTGCTGGAGATGGATGGTGATGCAGGGAGAAGAGTTACGCTGCCTGACGCCGCGTGGGAAATTGTTTGAACCTGCAATTTCAGTTCGAGCGCGCTGGACTTCTAGACGATGTGTCCTCATGGCTGTTTTTCAGCGCTTGGCCTATCGCTGATATCCCTGCGTGGGATGTTCTTCCAGTGGAGTCCAGGTGGGACTTCGGGTGCCCACACTCCATCACCTGGTTGATTGTTTCGGAACTGCAAAAATAATTATTGTTTCCTATTTTGTGCGCATCTCTTGTCATCTCTCTTTTCTATACGTCGCACACCAGATGTACTACTAGTACTATCGCCGTCTTTCTCTTGCTATCTCTCTCTGCTTGCTGTTTTTTGTTTCTGTTGCCACTGTCCCTCATCATACCCATGCTTGGGTGGAGGGCGGCGTGACCCGTTAGGGTAGCTGTCAATACAGTACGACTCCCTGATGTATAGAGAGACTTTCTGGAAATAAATAGGGAGACGAGGAGGAAATGAAATTAGAATGGTTGTTCGTTGCCGAATAGGTGATAGGATGCGTAAGCAAAAACATACTTTGGAAGAGAGATCCCGTCCTCTCCAAAATAGGCGTGAACCGGCGAGTCAGCGCCGGTCACAGGAAACGTCGGCAGAGAGATCCCGTCGACTCCAGAACGCCCGTGATCGGCAGAGTCAGCGCAGAGTCAGTTCCCACAACATGCACAATGAGCTCAGCAACAAAGCATAGCGTAGGGCCCTGAGCTTCCAAGCTCTCTCGTATGTGTGTGCACTCACTCCTATGACATAGAACGACAGTGCAGGCTATGTAAAGTCGCACGAATGTGTGTTACCCGGGTGTGTACATGCATGCGCACTCGCGCGGGCGTTTTGTGTGCGCGTCTGGCATGGCATAACGCCGTTCAATATGACTAGTGTTGAACCGTGGTAATTTGCCCCACCCCTTCTTTTTTCTATTGGCGTTGGATATGCAACTAATGACATAAACTCGGTTGTTGAAAACGAGTGCCATGCACCACAATGGATTGACAATAATATAATACAAGTAGCGCTGTAAAAGCGCTGGTAATACTCATGTTGCAGCCATGGCAGTTGTGATTAGCTTTCCAAGTCAAGCCTGCTGCAGAAATTATTACACTCTGACCAGCTGGAGTGGCCCAGGACTGCAGGTTGTGGAGAATAGGAGTGATGCTTGTATATACGCTTGTATTTACATGATGGACTTCGAAGTAACGTTAGGTGTATTACTTGTATGTTCTTCTGCCTGTGCACGTGTACATGTGCTGGTCAGTGTGGAACCGCCATCCATATCAGATCATACAGCTCAGCTGCTATCAGTCTCAACAGCTTATATCTGGCAAATAGGGTTTTAGTGACTCAATTTTGCTTACTGTGTTCAACAGAGTGGCATTGCACACAGCTACTTTATGTAATAGCAGCATCTTGGAAATTTTATATTTTTGATTGTTAGCTTCAGTAGAAACTTCTCCAGTGTGGCTCTTAGCTTCATTTCCACGGAGACTAAGCATTCAAGTAATGCACGAAGAACAGTGGCTAGATGCGAAGTGAAAAGCAATTGGACCGTACCCAATGGAATACGCATTTAGTATAGCAGTATTGCTTGCTATGTTGGCAGCAAACACTGTATAATAATAATTGCATTACCAGTAGTAAATGCTCAATGTGCATTGCTTCAGCACTGTGTTTTGGACAAAGCAGTCAAAAAATTCCACATCAGTATTGGCTTCATGTTGGAGAAAGTTGTGAAAAACACTAGAGCATACATGTACACTCAATACACATGCTCAGCTACATGTATGGCATTTAGTATGTGGGCGACTTCAAAGTTCTATTTTGGTAGTTAGCTTCGGTAGAAACTGTCTAAACTTGATCCAAAGCTCTACTACTATGTTCTGAAGATGTTGCAATCAAGTAATGTAAGACACGTATCTGCCGCATTGGAGCTAGTTGTGAAAACCTTTAGACCATACCGACTCAATGCACATGCTCAACTATTGCATTTTAGTATGTGGGCGACTTCAAAGTTTTATTTTGGTAGTTAGCTTCGGTGGAAGCTGCTAAAACTTGATCCAAAGCTCTACTACTATGTTCTGAAGATGTTGCAATCAAGTAATGTAAGACACGTATCTGCCGCATTGGAGCCAGTTGTGAAAACCTTTAGACCATACACTCAATGCACATGCTCAACTATTGCATTTTAGTATGTGGGCGACTTCAAAGTTTTATTTTGGTAGTTAGCTTCGGTGGAAGCTGCTAAAACTTGATCCAAAGCTCTACTACTATGTTCGGAAGATGTTGCAATCAATTATTGCAAGATACGTATATGTCATATGGTGGAGTCGGGGGTTCTAAGGCGTTGGACAATATCCCAGTGCAATGTGCTGATTCTTGAAAATATGGCATCACTTGACACTTCAAAGTTTTATTTCAAGAGTTACCTTCGGTAGAACCTGCTCAAACTTGCTACACAGTACCATTATTAGGTTATGATAGCATAACTATCGAATACAGGGCAAGTCCAGTGTCAAATACTTGTGGGCGGGGCTAATATGTGGTACGTGTGCGCTGAAATGAGATGATTCCGAAAAGAGAAAAAGGTCACCTTCTAACGTCAGCAGAATTCTACCCACTTCTAAAGCTTATGCTGGTATTTAGCAAGTATACTACTGTCCTGATGGTGGACATCAAGAAAAATGGGGTAACTACGAGTGCTACGGCCCAAAAAGTGGTTTTCCGGTGTTTTTTGGCCAAAATTGGCAATTGTGAGTATGCTATGTTTGGCCCCTCCCCCGAGTGAAACCGGCCGGTAGAACTTGATAAAAGTTTGTCTCCGTACACTAGATATCCTACGGAACAAAGTACAATCGTTTGTAGCCACGTTTCAAACAAAAAAATTTGGACCCGAGGGGTAGGAGCCACCTTAAGTGGATGATGCAAGGCGCAAGAAGACCAGGCTAACTGAGTCTGAATTGGCAGGGTTCAACAAAATGACCGCATTGCGCCTTGAGACAGAGATCATCAAAGGCAACCAACCATGTAGATCTACAACACGGCATCACCACCATCTTTACCCTGCAGGCCTGGCCTGAGTGCTATTTCGCGAGTTCGCATCGCTCCAGAGCATCGAGACGAAGTAGTCTACCTATAGTCCATCGGCCAAATCTCAGAAAGGGCCTCTTTCGGCGAAGGTGATGCACTGAAGCTCCAACTAAACGCCCTTTGGCACACGAGCTCATGAGACCCCATAGAATACGAATCCGGACGTTGCCAATCCAGTCCAGGATAGTCGAACTGGGTCGAATACCTTCTTCCGATTTTCGTAATTTCGTCCACCATTACGTCTTTCTCATCGACTTTTTTTCGCTTGGCGAATGTTCTTGAGCCGCTGAGCAGAATCTACGCACGCTCGAACACTTGAAATGCCTGCATGTTCACGGCTCGCAAGATTCTAGCGAGCTTGGTGGAAATCTATTATTTATTTCGACATTTTTGGGGAATCTGAATTAGAACGGTAGAATCTCATTCGGAGAAGACGGCGTGTCGCCGCTGTCGGATTGTCGCTACTGTGTTTCAGACGTATTTGCTTGAGCGTGCTATTGAGGATGGACAGAAGATGAAGTGACGGCTTTCTTGAACACGGACGTTGTGTCTACATTGTAGCTAAAACATCTCATCTGGCGTCTAGAACGCAATTATTATGAGTTGTGAGTGCCAGCTGAGCTGAACACAAGCTGGACACCATTCGTCAGCTGGGAATTGCATCGAAGCTCTTGATAGCCACGATAAGCATAATTATACAGAGGTAACCTTGTTTGACTCAATACGCATGCAGGTGATACCACTAGTGGCACTACAGTGTAAATGGTGCAAAATTGATGCAACAGCGAATATGTACTTCGTACAATCACGAACAATTGTAAGGCAAGTGTTCATGCCTGTCATAGAGGAATTTCAGCCCGGAAGTCTTGTTGTCATGGTCATAAATAATACAGGACTTGAGTTGGCTCTGGACATAAACACACTTGTGGTGAATACGGTCATTATTGCGAGAAAAATATTTAGCCACTGTATGTTAACTGATGCCGCACTACACGCAATATTTCATGCACATGTATGTGAGACTCAATTGCATCCACAAGGCCGTAGATGCATGTAAGCACACAATGCTGTACAGTATAAGTAGTAGTCGACATGTGGTGCCTTCCTGCTGCACATGCACATGCGGCAAGTTGGCAACAACACATGACCTATCTGCACCGCACAGCGTGAGCTTAGAAAGGAATATTGCACACACAGTGCTATTTGTGCTCCGATATCGTTAAGCCGGTATACATGTACTAGTATCCTTATACATGTACCTGGTCACTCGATAGGCGATGCCGACTGTACTAATCTTATCCATATTACCCGATAGGCTATAGCACACTGCGTCAGATCACTATGCAACAAAACAAGAGCTTTGGAGCGAATATACACTGAAGCAAAGTAGGTTTCAACGGTACAGCACTAGTCACGATGAGGGGAGTTACGAGGATGGTTAGGCCATGACACATAGATGATGATTGTTAATGATTCATGCACAGTGGAAAATTACCACCAATGGCGATGATATTGCTTTCACAACAATGACATCAGTAGGAGCAGTGACACAACCTTACTGCTCCAAGTAGGATTTACAAGCGAGTGAAGGGAGAGCAGACTGGTCTAATAGCAGACCGGGTCTAAGTAAGGAAGTAATCGGCATCAGAGGTGAGCTTGCACATCAGAAAACAGATGATGATCACCAAACACAGAGAAGTTGGCTATGTGTATGTTTGTGTCACTGTGTGTGCATGCGTGTGTGTGTGCATGCGTGTTTGTGTGTATGCGTGCACATCTGTGTGTGAGAGAGAGGCAGACAGACAGATAGCATATGGTGCGAGGGATCAAGGTCTGACCTCAGAGTTAAATGCTGACGGTGTGGAATAGCAACAGTGCGAAATCGGGCAGGGTGGTTAATGGCCCACACTGGAGCCGAGTAGGAGCACCAGTGGTTGAGGGCTAGCACAGGAGTAGCAGCAGCTCCAGCCTAGGAAGATCAGCTTCTGGATGAAAATCTCCCGGACACAGTAGGTACCAAGCTTCACTAGCAGATTGCCGGCAGGGGTGCACGGCGAGCACCCGTACATCCCTCAAGCCACCAGAGCCGCAGTACTTGGACACGATCCAGGTGCTTACCCGCCAACAATGCTGAGAAGGCACTGGAGCCATACAGGAATTTATGATCGAGCATGATCACAGACTTGAAATACAGGGTCCGGCGTTGAATACTCAGACAGCGACGTCTCCTCCACAGAACACCACTCAGCCCCACCATTGCATTATTTTCGCTTTTTCATGATTTTTACAATTGTGTTAGAGCACACAGCACTCGATGCAACATTTACCAGTGACTTAATACCTCCGCGTCTCCGACCATAACTGCAGCGTTCCCGTGAGCCTGTTGGATTTCCGTCAGCCTGTTGAGATTATCTTCATCTCGTCACATGTGAGCCTGTGTGTTTCATCCGTATCGTGGCACAATTACACAGACACGATTTCCAACTCAGGCCGGTTCCGTTGCTCGAAGGGTTGGCGGTAAGAATTGCTACGCCGTCTGTGGCTGCATGGGAACTTGGCGAGTCGTCGTCTTTCTCCATAAATCCTGATCGTCACGCGAACAACAGCCACTATTGCCTAAAAACTACGACACAACAGTATCAAGCTCGCCCCAGCAGAAGGACACGAATGACGAGCGCTAAGACGGAGAAAGAGAGACAGGGTTAGCGAGAGCGGACTAGTGCAGGTACGCTGTCATCTCCTGAGGTGGTGGGCGAAGCAGCGAAGTGAAACGAAGGAAGATAGAACTTATTAGAAGCCATACGGAGGCACCAAAACCTATTGCCTGTCACATACTAAGTGCCATTTAGGGTTGACAGCTGTCAGCTGACAGCCTCAAAAATTTGAAAATCTGCTCAAAAAACTCTCGATCAGAACTCTGCGCACTCTCAAATGGAGCGCACAGTAAAAAACTCGGCGACGAAGAACGCTTCGTATCGACGCCCTGGACTGAATTCGGCACGTCCAACAAACGGAATAGTGTTCTCTGATATATTCTCTACGTGCTGGGTATGGTCGCGTTTAGTTGGAAGCTCAGTGCATCACCACTTTCGATTTTGAGACTTGGCCGATGGACTACTAAGGATAATGCCCATCATGATATCACTGCATCAGACAGACTGAAGTCTAAAGAACAGAACAGGCAAGCACCATCTCCAAGTCCAAATATATCCCACAAGCACTTTCAACGCCTTCTCGTCAGGCACTGCCGCAGAAAAGAAACTAGTACTAACCAGTAGATCTACGATCGCTACACCAAGGTTCAACTCAAAGGTTCAAAGGTTCAACTCGAGTGACAGCACTGACAAGTGACACGAACGCTGTAAAAGTACCGGTAAATTGTTGTAGCCTGCAAGCACGGTGACCAGTGGTCACTGTCCTCAGTATGCAGACTAGCCAATGCTGGGGTTGCAGTCCTCAGTATGCAGACTAGCCAATGCTGGGGTTGCAGTCCTCAGTATGCAGACTAGCCAATGCTGGGGTTGCAGTCCTCAGTACGCAGACTAGGCAATGCTGGGGTTGGAAAAGGAACACTGACACATACTGACTGTGAGTGTAATTATGCAATTATACAATTATACATGCCTTCAGTCCAGAACTCGATACCGTAAAAGCCCGTGTACAGGCCCCCGGGCGTATAATAGCAGCCTCGATTTCCTGGGCGTATACAAGGGCACGGGCGTTACCGGGCGTATACTTGGAATAGGGATAGCAGTAAGTATTGGGTATCAGTACCTGTACATGTGTACTGGTGTTTCCGGCATACCTGGGCGTATACATGGGCATGGGCGCTATTTTGAAACAAAAGTGCTTTCTTCCCCTGACTGGGCGTGTACACGGAGGGTGGGCGTTATTTCGAGTGGGCGTATACACGGGCTTTTACGGTATGTCGGTATTGGATGACGGGAATAGTTAGATCATGGATAGCGTGTAAATGTATGGGATCAGTGGTATGGCTATCAAGTGTTCCATGCCACGGCCTGAGAGGCTGAAATAATAACGTGCAGCATAGAAAACAGTACCGATTCAAACGCTAGCAGCACAATTCCGGTTCTAAAGCAGTCAAAGTCGAAACTCAAGAAAAGCGCACTGACAGCATCGTGAAAGTTGGGTGCAATACTATACAGACCGATGGTCCACATGGGGTGTAGCAACCCATGCACTGAGGCGGTCTGATAGTACAATACATATACGGGACCTGTGGAATAAACCTGTTGAATCTGTGATGGGAGATAGGACCAAAATAAGAAGTACTACTGGCTCACACTATATTGCTATGTTGTAGCACCATGTGTGCAGGACTGCTGACCATAGCGCGATGTTTCTCCTGCCTGGACACTATGTATTAATGTTGTAATTATTACAGCATTCACCTGAATAGCACCTTTTTACACTAAAACTCAAGGCCAAAGTGGCATTGGACACTGGACGGTGTACTGGCCATGTGTAAGCCCTATCTGCAGGCTTGGCTATCAGCACTGTGATCAGTGTCTGTATGCTATGGATGGCTGATAGCCCTCACTACATCATGTATATACCTGCTGTACATACATGACTATACATGTACATGTACACACTGCTCAAGTATCTGAAGATGCTGTGCCCGCTGTATGCACCTGTATGTACGTGCACACACTGCTCAAGTATCTGAAGATGTACTGCCCGCTGTATGCACCTGTACGTACTGCTCAAGTATCTGAAGATGCACTGCCGCTACCCCGCCCACCACCTTGGTGCCATGAGCCCATCACCGAGCGCGGCGTGGAGTATGTCGACGTCAACGCCGCCTTCTCCTCGGCCGACCGCGCTTCAGCCGCCGCCGCCGTTGCAGCTGCACCAGTGCGCATGCCATTACTTCTGCCATTCGCCGGGGACTCTCTGGGTTTCTTGCCCGATGCTGCTCCGGGTGGGGGTGTTGGAGATTCGATGCCGTTGGTCGGCGTGGCGGAACCACCGCGGCCTGGCCGATGCACCCCAATCAGAACTGACATCTCTTTCTGCATGCTGCGAATCATCTTATCACGTTCCTCCAGCTGCTCCAGAAGGCGGTCGTTGAGCTCGTGAAGGCGCTGGCATTCCTGCCGCGACGCCATGAGCAGCTGCTCGTATCGTGCATGACACGCCGCCAGCGTCTCGTCGTTCTTCTTCTCGGCGTCCTTGCGTACGTTGTCAAGCAGGAGCTGTGTGTTCGTCTGGCGTACACCCTCCTCTCTCCGCAGCATCTGCAAGCGGAGGACAGAGAGAGAGAGAGAGAGAGAGAGAGAGAGAGAGAGAGAGAGAGAGAGAGAGAGAGAGAGCGAGAGAGAGAGAGAGAGAGAGAGAGAGAGAGAGAGAGAGAGAGAGAGAGAGAGAGAGAGAGAGAGAGGGAGAGAGAGAGAGAGAGAGAGAGAGAGAGAGAGAGAGAGAGAGAGAGAGAGATACTGTGGGGATGACCAGCAGCCAGGGACAACGAACCAACGACTAACTTAGTGCTAGCGTGAATGCATATTCATGTGAGGAGCGTGCTCAGTGCATGCATCCGTTGTAGTCATTGGTTATACAGGGGCGTAGGAAGCAGATTTCCTATGGTCCGGCGGATTTTTAGCTCGTGCAGGTCGCGATTGTTTAAATTTTTACTCCGCCCAGTATTATAGTATGACTACAGTAAGACCTGGTGTAAGCGACCACCTCCTCACGGTGCAAGCAAAAGCGGTCGTTAAAGCCAGGTGGTCTTTAGAATCAGGTCCCACAGTGTCTGTGTAGAGCTGTCGGTGCATGGAAAAACAGTCGTTAAGAACAGGTGGTCGCTAAAACCAGGTTTTCCTGTACTACAGTACTCACTTTGTCTTGGGGGGGGGGGGGGGGGGGGGTAGACATGGAGAAGTTGCCATACACAGGGGTGGTGAGCCCGCCTTTCGGCACCGGGAATACAGCTCGCTCGACTCTGTCTCTACTGAGTGAAGAGGGCGATTTTACTTGTATAAGGATTGACATGACAAATGTTGTGGTATCATGGAAGACTTGATGTTATACTAGTATACTCTCCTGAAGTGCACGTACAAATTCCCGTGCGGTACTCTTCAGGCACTAGCCGTCCAGCAGTTTCTTGTGGACATTCAGGAACATCAGGTGATTGGGCCTTTCCTGGCTAGTCATAGCCCAAATTTGCTAGCAATTCTTTGAGCAAAATATCGGATGCGCAAGTTGCCGGCAAGTTTTGAGCAAAATATCGAGTTTTGTTGGGCTTTTCAGAAAATCCAAGGCTTCTCAGGGACTTTCTCAACGCAATCAGTCGCCAAGGTTGAAAACAAGCACAAAAGTTGGACAAAACAGACTCATGGCCACATTTTTGTAGAAAGTTGAGCAGCAGCAGGAGCTCAATCAAAAATTCCCTCGTCATCAGCGACAATTATCGTTGAGTTTTCCTTGAAACTCATTTTTTCTCGAGCAGAACCAAAGCAAAATACCGACGGAGAAAGGAAATGCCAAGCAGAATATCGAACACTATAATTATTATATGATTTTGTGGCAAAATTGTGCTGCAAAATATCGATGTGGGCAGAGCAAATTTGGGCCACGACTATTCCTGGCGGGTTGTACTGCATAAGTAGGACTTGACCCTCCGCATGGTTGAAAACGAGCTTGCTGCTCCTTTTTTTTTTTTGGCGAATATTGGTCTGGCGGCCGCCGGACCTGTTCCTACGCCCCTGTTATATAGTCTGCATGGCCTCTTGTTATCAAGTTCCCAGCTACCGCCGCTCAGTGAAAAGCAAACTCTAGCAAGTTTGCAGCATGCACCACTAACTAAGGGTACACTGGTGCTGAATGTTGATTAAAACCATTTCCCTCTTCTAACAGGATGCCTTCACTGAGGAGAAGCAAACATGATCTGTTAGCTATGCCAGTGGCCCGACTGCACTGACGCCTTAGGTTAGAGAGCATGGGCAATGCACAGTAATACCCATGTACAGTACTATCGGGCACCCAAGAACAACGATGTGAGAACAAAAATAGATTTTTACCAGGTGCATCATGCCCCCTACCGTAAGTCTGCAAATTTTCGACCCATTCAAATTTCGGCCTCCCAGGGCTAAAACCCATTTCGGCTGCATCAAATTTTCGGCCTGTACTGCTGCCGTCTGTATACACTGTCACCCTGTACCTTGCAAAACAAAATCTCGGCCGCAACAAATTTTCGGCCAAACATGACCAGGCCGAAAATAGCTGAAAATAAATATGCGCCGAATATTTTGTTGACTTACAGACTTACAGTATGTACTAAGTACATGGTGGCGGCTCGACTATAGATATTTCTAGAACAATAAGAACGGCCTAGGCTACAACTCTGAACAATGTTCTTCCGCACACCAGACCGTACTGTAAATTACAGTTGTGTTTGCTGTTCATACCTGCAATCCACGCAGTACCGCCGAATTGGAGGCGACCAGTAGCTTCTCCTGGCGCATGACCTGCAACTCCAACTTGGACGATGATGTTTCGGTCCAGGTAGAGTGCCTTGCCGAAGGAATATCGCCCTTCTGCTTCAGCTCCTCGATGAATTTCCTCAACTCCTTGGCCACGAACAGCGCCTTGTCTCTATCAGCTTCCAATGACTTGACCTGTCGTGACATCTTCTCGACCGCTACGCGCAGCTCCACGATCTCACGGTCCACAGCCGACTGCTGTCGGCTGGAGGAGGAGGATGACTTGCGTCGCCGCTTGCCGTCCAGTAGTGATGCACTTGTCTGGCCGGTGAACACCTGAACACAAGTGACATGTCATGCACACATTACACATTACAATACTGTCGGGCGCCGAAGAACGGAGCGCCGAAGAATGACCAGGCTAGATGTTCACCAAGCACTGCATACCAACAATGTATACACAGTGACTCAACTGTGCATAGACTACATGTAATACATGAGAATAAGAACGGTCTAGGCTAGGTGGCTGAACCCCCAGTTCTTCGGCGACTGACAGTACTATATATATGTAACAATACTTGGGCAGACACACACATACATACACACATGCAATACAGAGTCTGTTCCACCGCAAAAAAGTGCCTGAAAGATGATGTCATGCTACAAAGCCGGGCTTATTCCTGTAGAAGCCGACATCAGGGCTCAGGCTTCTATTCACATCAGGCTTCTATTGAAACCAGGTGTTTCTATGCGTGTCAACACTAAAACCAAGCTTATGTGCCGACAATGTATCTTGAAAATCAGGCTTGTAATCAAAACAGGCTTCTATATGAGATAGGCGGTAATCACAGTTACAAGACACTGCGGTACATGTACCAGAGGCAGAAAGGCAGAAGCACTTGCCTGATATAGCATGGATAAGTACACGACCAGCGAAAACTCGTCGACAGACGGCGCCTTGACCTCATAGACAGCCGACTGTGTGCCCTCGTCAAACTTCTTCTGACTGGTTGCGACAAGATCCATGGCGTCCAGGAGTGCCGGCACGCTGTTCTCCTCGGCTAGGTGGATAGCCAGCTGCGTGTTTGTTAGCGTGTCCCTCTGCAGCACCACAACAAACACCAACACACAGGTATGTAACAAGGAGGACTAGGAGGACTAGAAGCTGAAGTGACATTATTAAAAACAAGGTCAAGTGATGGAAACGATGCAAAAACAATATAACTAGAAAGAAGGAAAGAGAAAAACATGTAAGAAGAAAGAATTTCCTGTGACTTCAGCTAGTCCTCCTTGTTGCCATTGTTGTGTATCGTGTCGGAGAAAGGTCTTCTGGGGTGTCGTCGAGATCTCATTGCGACCGTGACTCCTGCTTGTCTCCCTGGCTAGGTGCTGCTTGCTTTGCTTTTTGCGTAGTGTTTTTGATTATTGTTTACTATTGCGTATTGTTAGTGTTCGTTGTGATTTGGTACAGTACTTGTTACGAGATACGACACATTGTGTAGTGTGTGTTTGCAGCACGAAGAAGACTGCTCACCAGAACGGTTAGCTCAGGAGCTTGGGCTTACCTTGTGCAATCACAGTTCATCAGCTTGGACATTGCGCTTGGTCCCATGCGAATAACCGACTAGAATAGTAATTATTTCTTCGTTGCATTTTTGAATTGTGTTCTTGCTAGCTCGTTGATTTATTTAGTTGATGTGTTGATTTGTGTTTGATTACTTATTTATTTGATGCGCGATTTATGTGCGCTGATTGCGTGATGGCATGCAATTATGATCATGCTTGCGCCAGCTAGCTAGATGCCTGCGCCGCGCACTGATGTTGAATGAGTTAGTATGCGCCCCGCGCTGTTCATGCATATATGGTACATGGTGTGTAATGTTTGCCGCACACGTACACGCGTATAGGTGCCGCGCCTCGTACTGCTCATGTGCCTCGCGCCGTACTATTGCTGTCGCTTTGCCGCCAAATTTAGCTTCCGCTTTCCGAGCGCTGTACGCTCTTCTGTACGCTCATGCCAAAGTTGGACGCACGTTGTGGCTGGTCAGCGCTTTACCCCTCATGCGTTGTTCTTTTCCTTGATGCTGTGGTTTGTTTTTCTTTAGTGTTCTAGAGTTCTCTTTCCGATGTAGTTCGTATTTTTCCAGTCTCTTCTTCTCAATGTATTCTACTGTTCATTCATTATAGTCCGTAAAGAATTACGTGACCTTTTGTCTTGTGGCGTCTGTGCGATCCTGAAACTTTTGAGGTGTTAGTAGTGAACACAACATTTTGGCGACCACGCCAGGATCGAGACGCGTGAACATGGATGAGGTAGAAGCGAAGCTGATCGCAAATGGTCAAGCTTATGGCTACACTGGAGAGGCATTGCGTACTTACGTAGAGGAGCGTATCGAGAAGCACGAGGAGAAAGTGCGTGCAGACAGAGAGCGCGAAGAACGAGCAGGAAGTAGATTGGAAAGGAAAGATGACGAGCAGCTGCTTGCGAGGATTGCAGATTTGGAGCTGCAAGTCCAGCACGCACGAGAGACTCAGAGTGATGAGAGCACTTTGTTGAATACGACGAATGGCAGTTTAGCGAGCAAGAGGGCTGCCATCAAGATGCCGAAGTTCGACGGTAAGCAGACTGTTGAGACCTATCTCGAACTGTTCGAGGATGTGGCAAAGCAAAATGAGTTCAGCGACGACGAGTACCTGATCCGCTTGCGCGTGGCTGTTGCTGGCAGCAAGTTGGAAGGTGCATGCTATGGCTGCAACACCTTTGCCGAAGCGAAGCGCGAGCTGCTGATGGCGCATGGGAAGACCGCCGACAAAGCGTGGCAAGCCCTGATGGCCATACAGCAGAAAAGTGATGAGAGTTTCTACCAATTTGTGGTACGAGTGACGCGCGAGACGGAGAAGTGGGCAAAACTCGCCAGGCCTAGCCGTACCTCTAGCCGCGGACAAATCGGTGAGCTGGACGACACTGAATTGTTCGGATGTGTCGTACGTCAAGTCCTGCTAGAAGCTGTGTCGGCAGAAACTAAGGCCTTCTTGATCGAGAAGAGATGTTACACGAAGGACTTGAAGGCGTTTGCGGAGGATGGTATGGCTTACCAAACAGCCCACGGACGTAGCAAGCTGAAGCCTGCCAAGTCTAGCACCAGCGACAAACGTATACCGTTTGCGTCGGCAGAGTGTTTGACGGTCAGCGTTGATGAGGCTAACAAGAAATTGTCAGCTATGGCGTCTGAGCACCGAAACGCGTACGTCAAGGCAGAGGGACTGTGTTTCAACTGCCTGAGACCAGGACATCGAGTGATGAATTGTAAGAACAAGGGTCGTTGCAAGCACTGCAACAAGCGACACCACAGTCTACTGCACAGAGAGGACAAACAGGTAACATCCGAACCGATAGCCGAATCGAAAGTCGGTACGTATGAATGTAGTGCAAACAGCGTGCACTTGATGACCGGCGTGGCTGAGGTACAAGGACCTAGCCGAAAGGCCAGTGTACGCATATTCATCGACCCAGGTGCGCAGGCATCGTTCATCACCGCGCCACTGGTGAACTCGCTGCAACCGGCACACCTTGGATCGCAAACTGTCAGGCTGAAGGCGTTTGACGTGGAGCCGAAGTTTGAAAAGATGGACAGGTACCGTGTCACCATCAAGGGTGCAACGAAGTCCATTTCCGTCAATGCCTGGCAAAAGAAGTCGCTAGGTCTCCGATTCGATCCGCTAGCAGACAGCACAATTGCACGTTGGCAGTCACAGGGATTGCAGCTGTCTGATGACTCGACAAAGGCCGGATCAAGCGAAGTGCACATGCTGATTGGAGCTGACTACTGCAATGAGTTCCTTCTCCGCAAGGAGCAAATCAATGGAGAGACGGCCTGGCACACTGAAATAGGCTGGGTGCTGTCAGGACCGGCTAATAGTGAAACCAAGTCAGCGACCGTCAGTGTGAGTTGTATTGAACTTGACCGACTGTGGAAGATGGAAGAGGTGCCGGAAATAGCTGATACGTTACCGGACTTCCCGATAGAGCGGCAAGGCCCTCATTACCAAGTGGGATTGCTATGGCGATCTGAGAAGCGTCCGCCAGCCAACCTAAACCAAGCGATGGCAGCGGCACAATCACTGCTGAAGCAGCTACAGAGACGAGGTCAACGTCCAGCGTATGATGACGTCCTCATCACTGAGTACTTGAAGCTGGATGCCATTGAAAAGGAACCGCATCCGGAGGAAGCCGGCTACTACATGCCGCATCATGCCGTATTCCGTAGCGACGCCTCAACGACAAAGACACGGGTCGTCTTCAATGCATCCGCCGCCTGCACCGGAGCACCATCCCTAAACGACATGGTCGATCCCGGGCCATCACTCCTACCGGATCTCACTGGTATCCTCCTCAGGTTCCGTGAGTATGAATGTGCTGTACAAGCCGATATTCGCAAGGCTTTTTTTATGATCGGAATGCGTGAAGAAGATAGGCCATATCTGCGTTTTGTTTGGCCTGAGATAGGTAGCGAAGAAATGTGTATCTGGCGTTTAAAGAAGCTGCCTTTTGGAGTGAATTGTTCTCCTTTCATACTTAGTGCTGTGCTGCGCTTTCATTTCGATAGTGCCTTCGAGTCTGCTTCTGCTGCTGAGCGTGATATCATAGAGCTGCTGCTGCGTAGTTTTTATGTTGATGATTGCGTTTCTAGCTTGCCATGCTGTGCGGATGCTGAAAAGCTGCAGGAGTATAGCGTTAATGTTTTGCAGGGAGCAGGCATGGAGTTGCGGAAGTGGCGAGGGAACACGATGACCTCAGACCCCGAGGCTGGTTCCAAGGCACTGGGTATTGTGTGGAACACCGAGTCAGATTGTATTTCGGTGGCTGCGCTCGGTGATGTTGAGTGTCCCAAGGAAGTGTCTGGTTGGTCTCGTCGTGCGTTGTTGCGTTGTGTTGCCGCTGTGTTCGATCCGCTAGGTTGGGCGTCACCCGCAGTTGTGCCAGGCAAGATGATGTTGCAAGAGAGTTGGAAGCTCGGCGGTGGTTGGGATGACCCATTCCCTATTGATTTGGCTGTCCGATGTGCTTCATGGTGGGGAGAGCTCGCAGCGCTTTCTTCCGTTAAAATCCCCAGATGGATCGGGTGTACTCCAGATGCTCCAGTCACTTTGCATGTATTCTCCGATGCATCCGAGAAGGGCTATGGCTGTTGTTTCTATGTTGTGTCCGGTTTGACGTCTTCTTTGTTGTGTGCGAAGGCGAAGGTTGCACCTGTTGTACGTCCCACTCTTGCGCGTCTGGAATTGTCGGCTGTGTGTCTTGGCGTGAAGATGTTGTCCTTTGTCGTCAATGAATTGAGAGTGCCAATTGAAAGGATTGTGGGGTGGACAGACAGCCTAACCACATGGCACTGGATCTCAAAGCCGTCGTATCACTGGAAGACGTATGTTGCTAATCGAGTTGCTGCAGTGCAAGAAGTTTCGCAGAAGCTGCAAGTAGAATGGCGTCACTGTCCAGGAGTTAGCAACCCTGCAGATCTTGTCTCACGTGGTGTCCCAGTGTGTGACTTGCAGAAGGAGATGTGGCTGCATGGTCCGTCATGGTTGAGCGATGAGTCTCAGTGGCCACCAGTCATCTCGTTTCAGAGCACCAATGAGTCCGTCACCGAAGCACGCGTGTCGGCTGTGGAGGTTGACACTCCAGTTGTTTGGCCGTGGGAGAAGTTCTCCAAGTGGCAACGAGCTCGCGGTTTGGTCGCAAGTATGCTGTCATGGCGACACAAGGGTGTTTCGCGTGCAGAATTGATTCCATCTGCTGAGTCTGTGATGTTTCGCGCCATCCAAGAGCAATGCTTCCCCAAGGAGTTGTCCCAGTTGCGGAGCAAGGAGCCACTGAAGAAGGGTTCGAAGCTGTTTAAGTTGTCTCCGTTTCTGGATGAAGCTGGTTTGCTCAGAGTTCGTGGTCGTCTGCAGGAGAGCGATCTGTCCTACGAGGTTCAGCATCCGATCATCCTGGGCAGATGTCATCTAAGTGAGTTGTTTCTGCGTGATGCTCACCTTCAGCGAATGCACCAGGGTGTAGAGAGCGTGCTTGCGTTTCTACAACAGCAGTTCTGGATTCTCGGAGCTCGTCGGTTTCTTCGTAGCGTGTCGGAGAAGTGCATTGTTTGCCGCAGATTTCGCGCACAGACTGCTGCTGAGGAGATGCCGCCGTTGCCCTCAGACAGGGTGAAGCACCACCAGCCATTCGGTCTCACAGGTATTGATTATGCAGGTCCGTTGTACGTGCGCAGTTCATCAAATGTTCAGAAAGTGTGGGTCGCACTCTTCGTGTGCGGTACTACTCGCGCAGTGCACCTAGAGCTCGTGGATAGCCTGTCGACAGAGGTGTTCCTGCTAGCATTGCGTCGTTTCATCGCCCGTCGTGGGAAGCCGCTGCGTATACGTTCAGATAATGCTACGACGTTCAAGTCCGCAGCAGGAAAGGTGGCAATCCCGTGGTTCTTCAATCCGCCATCTGCCCCGTGGCATGGAGGGTTCTATGAGCGTCTGGTGGCATGTGTGAAAGCTCCCTTGAAGAAGGTTCTCGGTCGAGCGTCATTGAGTCGAGACGAGCTGTTCACTGTCTTGACGGAGATCGAGAGAGTCGTCAACTCTCGACCCCTCACTCCGGTTTCTACGGATGTAGCTGACGAGTCGCCGCTGACTCCAGCCATGATGTTGGGAGACATCTTTGCAACCGGTATTGCCTCGTCTGACAGACCACTCGATCCACGGCAGTTGTCCGCTCGAGTCAAGTATGTCCACACCGTCTACGAGCACCTCAACCAGCGTTGGTCGTCTGAGTATCTCATTCGTCTCAGTGAGTATCATCGGTCGAAGTCAACTCCGATTGTCGTGAACGACGCTGTGTTTATTGCCGACGACAACCGGAAGCGGCAATCATGGCGCTTGGGTAGGGTCGCAGAGCTGTATCCTGGAAGAGATGGCAAGTGCAGGGTGGCCAAAGTCCAAGTTGGCCAATCGTCCATGCTACGGCCCATTCAACGCTTGGTTCCGTTGGAAGTAGCGAAGGAGCATGTTGAGCCGCCTGCTGTGGACGCTGAGCCGCAGCCGCAGACACCCGCGAGCGCTGATCCAGTCAACGTCGTCGATGATGTTGAAATACCTTCGACGACCGTTGAACCGCAAGTTACGCGTCGATCTCGTCGTACCGTTCGACCACCACCTCGTCTTGATTTGTGATCAGTGTGGTTGAAGCCCTTTGGTGGGGAGAATGTTGTGTATCGTGTCGGAGAAAGGTCTTCTGGGGTGTCGTCGAGATCTCATTGCGACCGTGACTCCTGCTTGTCTCCCTGGCTAGGTGCTGCTTGCTTTGCTTTTTGCGTAGTGTTTTTGATTATTGTTTACTATTGCGTATTGTTAGTGTTCGTTGTGATTTGGTACAGTACTTGTTACGAGATACGACACATTGTGTAGTGTGTGTTTGCAGCACGAAGAAGACTGCTCACCAGAACGGTTAGCTCAGGAGCTTGGGCTTACCTTGTGCAATCACAGTTCATCAGCTTGGACATTGCGCTTGGTCCCATGCGAATAACCGACTAGAATAGTAATTATTTCTTCGTTGCATTTTTGAATTGTGTTCTTGCTAGCTCGTTGATTTATTTAGTTGATGTGTTGATTTGTGTTTGATTACTTATTTATTTGATGCGCGATTTATGTGCGCTGATTGCGTGATGGCATGCAATTATGATCATGCTTGCGCCAGCTAGCTAGATGCCTGCGCCGCGCACTGATGTTGAATGAGTTAGTATGCGCCCCGCGCTGTTCATGCATATATGGTACATGGTGTGTAATGTTTGCCGCACACGTACACGCGTATAGGTGCCGCGCCTCGTACTGCTCATGTGCCTCGCGCCGTACTATTGCTGTCGCTTTGCCGCCAAATTTAGCTTCCGCTTTCCGAGCGCTGTACGCTCTTCTGTACGCTCATGCCAAAGTTGGACGCACGTTGTGGCTGGTCAGCGCTTTACCCCTCATGCGTTGTTCTTTTCCTTGATGCTGTGGTTTGTTTTTCTTTAGTGTTCTAGAGTTCTCTTTCCGATGTAGTTCGTATTTTTCCAGTCTCTTCTTCTCAATGTATTCTACTGTTCATTCATTATAGTCCGTAAAGAATTACGTGACCTTTTGTCTTGTGGCGTCTGTGCGATCCTGAAACTTTTGAGGTGTTAGTAGTGAACACAACAGCCATGTTATTGTTGTTTCCTCGCCGATCACTTAGACAAATATCACCACTCTGTAATGGGCTGTAGAAACATGCACATACCCGATCCAGTAAATCCAAGTTTAGCTTCCCGGGTAGATAGCGGGCAACCAGTGCACAAAGCGTCATGCCATCCTGGAAGCTGAAAAGAATGAATCATCCGAACAAAACGCACACCAGAAGAAAAGGTACAGAGCTGCTCAATGAAATCCAGCCGCGTCCCTCAAGTACGCGCCGGGCGTTGCGCGGCCCCAGACCTGCGAACACTGGTCTGAAAAAAGGAGCAAGGCGCAAACTTGAGTGCCGTGACTGGATTTCGTGTGAGCAGGACTGTGGATGACAGTACAACACTCGCACATCCTGACACAATTAAGCTGCTGGCCACGTTAACAGGTGATGCACCGCGGAGCGACAACACGAACAGCGGCCTGCATTGCGTACGGCACAGCACGAAACCTTTAGTTGAGATGCGCTGGCAAAGCAGCGGCGCAGACATGCGTTAGCTCAAGCCAAGCCACACTGTATATCTACACACACTGTATATCTACACACACTGTATATCTACACACACTGTATATCTACACACACTGTGTATCTACACACACTGTATATCTAGCACCCACAAGCGAATCTGCAGACTAACGCTATACTTCGCACCCATAGCGTATTCGTCAACACACGCTATACTTACTTCAAAGAATATATTTTACTTAAGAGTCCATGCGCGGATCGGCTCGTTCACCACCATGGTACCACGGATCTTGCAGAAACCGGCCTGTGGTTTGATCATGGAGTGCACACCAAACTGTCTAGTACATGTAGTGTCACTGTGTCACGTCATACAGCAGCCGCAGCAGCAGCAATGGCGGTGGCACTTACCTGTTCTTGATGTTGGTGACTTTGACAAATGTGTGCTGTGCTACGGAGGACTTGACCCACTCCAGCAGGAACTGCTTGGCGTGCACTGGGGAACTGCCGCCTGTGAAACACACACACGCATATACACACCCGTATACACACACAGATGCGTGCCACACACACACACACACACACACACACACACACACACACACACACGCACACACACACACACACACACATCTTGGATCCTGGACGGCCATTGCTAGTGCGATGATAGCGTGCGAGCTGAGCAATATGGGGAGTGCCACTTCAAGTCGCCCGCTCAGCAAAATGCTCGTCCACGCATGCATTGAACCCCTGCGGACAGCCGGGCAACAGTATGTACTTGTTGTGTGATTGGAGGACACAAAAGCATCCCCATTGCCAGGCTACGAAGTCTGCGCAGCTGGGAAAGCATTTCGGATTTGATGGTCTTTTACCGACCTGGTCACTTTTAATCTGGTCTGACTACACTCTCTACGGTCAGGTACAGGACCTACACAACCAACGGCCATAGCAGTAGAACGTATGCAATACCGACTACAGCAGTAGAGCGTACTCAATACCCGGCCACAGCAGTAAAACGTCCACAATACCGACCACAGCACAGCAAGACCTGTCAAGGCGACCACCTGTCCTGCAAACGTGGGTCACCTGATCCTGGCAGCACTAGACCGACTGTACATGCACACTTACCAATACAAAGCTCAAAGCGAGTGATGAGTGCATAGATGATCGCCTGTATTGTTGGCAAATAGCCACGCTCCACCTCTGCACAATCACACAGTACAAGCACACAGATATCATGCACTGAAAACAGTGATATTTCAAACAGTGTTCGTGTTTGATATCCCGCTAGTCACTATCTTCACCGAGATCCTATGTCCGGCACGTTTGAACAAGGGCAAGTAAACAGTTAGCGTCGAGCCCACAACCTCACGGTTGGAAGGGAAACACGCCAATACAGACATAATGGCAGGAGTGCAGGCAAGCTACAGGAGACAAGGGTAAGAATGAGTGTGGCATGGTAAATACTAGGACTGCTTGTAGGGCACAACAAGTCAATAACACAGCGGGCTGAGGATGGCAGCGGTGGTGCAGAGTACAGGGGCTAAGGACAAGAATTAAGCGGCACGTGTAGAGCATGGTGAATACTGCAGTACCCCTTGGACCTAAATCCATCACCGCTCCTGCACTTTCCTACCCCCCTTTCCTCCCTCACACCTCTCCCCCTCCCCGTTCCCTACCTCTATCCCATAGCAAACGTGCCGCACCCAAGCAGCAGCTTACCATCTCCATCCCAGCCTAGTGTGTTGATACCAGCCCGCTCGCTCATGAACGACAGTGCCGTTAGAATGTTGTTCATACGCTCACCACTGCAGTCGAAAAGCGCATACATGTACACACAAGCATGCAAGAGTACGTGTACGCATGCATGCGTGCGTGCACACACACACACACACACACACACACACACACACACACACACACACACATACATACATACACACAAACGATTGTACGAACGCTGAGTGGCTAGAACTTCGGAATAGAACTATTCTATTATACAGAGACTAACTGCGAGAATGGAGACGCACAATTCCATGCTTTGAGCGCTAACACACACACACACACACACACACACACACACACACACACACACACACACACACACACACCTGCATAACAGGAGCAGATGCCGCTTAAATGATATGGCTGACAAGAAGATGCAGCAAAACCAACTTTAACTGAATGCACTTGGTGCAGCGGAAACTGCCCCGGACAGGATTCCGCTTGATCCAGGGATGCACGTTCCATCCACCCAGCACTTTGGGCCAGGAAAATTTGTCTGGTCAAATACAGGATTCCGCTTGGTACTTGGTCTGGCAAGCACAGGTTCTACGGTAGTACCATGTGCAACCAGGACCGACGAAGACCATTCCATCATTACCCCCCCCCCCCCCCCCAAGAGGAGTGTCAGATCACTGACTGGCAGCTACCACAGCGGCACCAACTCCATTAGACAGCATAGGAAACATACCGCAACTGGCAGGTCTCCTTGTACTCCAATGCCACCCCGGACAGGACTTCCAGCAGAGCGCAGAGGTTGACTCCATCTCTGCAACGGTGATGCAGGCATATCGGCATGGATGTGCACGTACATACGCAATCACACACATACAGACACACACACACACACACACACACACACACACACATGTCCAGCATGCACAGACACACACACACACACACACACACACACACACACACACACACACACACACACACACACACACACAGACACACATGCACATGCACATGCACACACACGCACACAAACAAACACACACACACACACACACATGTCCAGCATGCACAGACACATATACACACATACACACACATTTGGATAAGCATACACACATTATTGGCATGACGTGCCGCCATGCAGCTCCTTGGATAGTCCTCTGCCATGAGGCGTTGCTGCATTTATCAAGTAAAATGTGCACGTCTCTGCTACAACTGGCTATACAATTTGTATCTTGTGAGTGAAAAGGACTTGATCAAATTTGAGATGGAGTTGATTGGCTGTGGTATTACAAGCACACTGGTGCACGCGAAGTGAGTGCAACTGCACCGTCATCTTGCCTGAGTATGGCGGGCAGACAGTAGTGCACAATACTCCAGGTGATCACAAACCAGAGTGAAGACCTCCCCCGTGCCCAAAGAGTTTATTGTATTCCAATTGACAGCTGGGGGGATGGCCAAAGACCTTGAAATAGCCAATACGTGGCTCGTTTACAGTGCAGACATGTGATTAGAGACGTACAAGTGCCATGCCATGATCTCCACTTTAATGAAGAACTTCACACGAAGTGTGAACGTCAGCTGGACTCCCTTGGACAGTTTATTAGCATCTGTCCAGTATGCACGCCCGTGATCTCGGCAGCGGCTTGGTGATGTCCCTGTCATGGCTTAAGTGCAAGTGATTACCCTGTATCTAGTCAGGTGAATTAGCTGGGGGGTCAGGTGAGTAGGTCCCAGCCGATCAGCAGTACAGTCATTTCGCCGAATCTAAGTCACACACCTTTTTATCGCCGGGCTTAACTTAAACGCCAAATAATCTGAACCGTCCACCTCTCCACACTGCGCTCTTGGCCCGCATTCACAACAACACTCCATGGCGAGGAAGTTGGTTCTTTCGCTCATTAAGAGCTCCTCAGTGGAGGTAGATAAAAGGCAAAAGACTTAAAATCGAGTGTGACATCCTACCTACGTGATTCTATTGAAGCAATTCGGCTCAAACGGCGGCTGTCGTGCGACTTATAATCGAGTGCGACATATACTGTAAAACATGTAACTTTCGGTGTAACTTTTATTTCGGTGATTTCGGTAGAGAAACCAGGCACCTAAATTTAAATTACACCTAAAAGGCACTAGAGTATGCACTGTATGTGAAGGGAACGCTGGTCACCTAATTCTACATTACACCGGAAACCTGGCACGTCTCTGGCACCAACACTTGTTTTAATGCACCTAAAATTACTTTTTTTTACAGCAATCGGGGAAATACGGTACACAAAACTGCTGTGCAGTAGCTTTTCAGTCAGCAGTCAGGTATAGGAACACCAGCCGTTCATAAAGCAACGGGAAGTGATGGTAGCCTTGGCAACGTGGCATCACTCATCAGATCTCACACAGTGTCGTGTGTGTGTGGGGAGGGGGGGGGGGGGAGGTAGCAGGAAAACTAATGCACTGGGCAGAAACATCAATTGTTTGCTTGCGTTATCCCTGGCTGCCGCTTGTGTTGTAGAGATAATGCCATGACCCACGTCATGGCATGGTGTTGTAGTGTAGATAAGCTATTACTGACGGAACCAGTGAGGTCTCAACTATAATGTAACATGTCATGGGAGCGATTAAGAGAGCTTTTCACTTCCAGAGTTCTCAAGTAGTGGCACATGGCTGGCAAGAATGCCACACAGATGACTGACCTGCCATGCATGCATGTCTGGAGACGGCTTGCGGGCAACACTGCATTGTAGTCATGAATAGCACCTCTGTGCTTGCCTGATTCGGATACCAGTCTACATAATCATGGTAGTGAGAGGTGTCAGTGTCACCTTGCCTAGCCTGTATCACAGTGTATCATTATACTGTATGCTCTCTTTTGTATTGACTGCTGTCAATGCACTATCATCAGTAATATCCAAAACACCATGACTTTATCGACTCGTACAAAGCGCCACAGAGAATAGGAAGAAGATTACGACAATCATACAGTGCACAGTCAGTCATGTACTACTGGGAAATCACCATTTCCGAATCTACTTCTATACAGTCATTGTACTTCTTTCGATTGTAATAGTGTAGTCGCTTTGAATTTTTCACCTCCACTGCACTACAACTTACAAGTACTAGTGCCTACGCAACATGATTGTTACGTGTGTGCGTGGTACTTAGCCCAAGGTACTACTGAGTCTGTACCATGTGCACGGTGACGCCGTGCATCACTCACTCACATGCCTGTTTATTTTATCACCACACACACACATAATAATAATTGTTGCTCAACAGCAAGTAAGTAATTTTAGTTTGTGTCGTGTCGCAAGGCTTGCAAGCAACCAAATCAGGCAAACGCCTCGGAACAAGTACACGTGAATCCCGTCCTACCATCATGATCATTACACACACTGCAGAGTGCACTGGCTGCAGCACGGCAACATCGTCATTGTGGATTCTCAAGGCTCGACTCACCGAAAATCCTCCTGCAGCGACGAGACGTGCTTGCTACACTGCTTGAGCTTGTAGTTCACCCAGCGCAGGAATGTCTGCGACACGCAACCATTGCCGCAGTCACACATGATAAAGACAAATTTCAGTGAAACTGAAGTGCATGAACTGATGAAGTACATTCCCGGACAGCAAGAAATTTTCCAGCTAGCGGAAATCTTCATAAGCTGGTTCGGTAGCTGCGCTAACCTTGCATTGCACGGTGTCGGGGTATGTGAACCAGCTGCTCGGCAGCGCGCTGCTTCCTCTTTCTTCCATCAGGACAGGTGCGCTTACTCGCGCTCGCACGCTACCACGGTTCGGTCGCCTCGCTCCCGCTCAAGTCAGACAAATGAACTGACGGCGTAGCTAGCTAGCAACGTCGTTCGATTTTCTCACTCGACCTCAACACATCCCCTGACAGCGCCCAAGACGTAACACACATGTGGAGTTGACAGAACTACAAAACTGAGTTAGCACGTCTACTACTACTCACATGTGGAAAAGAATGAGAATGATTTCAATCACGGGACGAACAAGCTGTCGCGAATCTTGAAAATGACAAGAACGTCTCACTGTTGTACTTGTACTTTTTACTAGTCATCATGGTATGCAGCCTTTTTATAGCGGATGGTTTTAGTCACGTAGTCTGAAGATCTACTATGTACACGTTTGCAGCTCCTTCGGACCGATCGGCGCTTCGTTTTTTCGTCATTCGACTGTTTCGAAGTGTCCGCGACTGTCCGTGCGACGATATTGAGTGATCATACTTTCATAGCTAGATTTCGGACAGCACTGTTATGTACTCAATAAACTAACTACCGGTACAATGTAACTTACTCAGTGTACTTGTACTTAGTTGTAGTCACTGAACTAGTCGTCATCCCTCAATGTATCTACTAAATGACTGACTGAGTAGACTACGAGGCCAACAGTAAATAAAAGCAGAGTGAAAGACTGAGCTTGAGGTGAAGCCGAGAGGTCTTTTCACTGTTTTCAGAGGTTTTATAATGACCTAGTAGTAGTAGGGTCCAGCGGATAATGCTCCGAAAATGTTCGTATAATCATTTATAAATGCTAACCACAATGCTCCGAAACTACCGTCATAATCAGGGAGTCGTATAGACCCGGGAGGCGACACGCGCATCACTTGTGCACAACCATGATTGACTCAACGATTCAAAATATTACGACCTGCTCGGTGTGGGACAAGTCCGTACATAGGTCAGAGCGCGCGGGAAATCCGTACATAGCGAGAAATCGTCGTCTTCGTCCTTTCGCCGAACAATCATAGTGTGGTCAGACTTTCGATCTCCATTGCCGAAATACAGCCATCTGTGGCCATCGCTGAGGAGTTCACTAATAAAGGGTCTTGTTCACTGGCTTTGCACTGCCACTCGAACTCTGAGGCACTTTGACCACCTAAGATGAGGTAATCCTTTCTTTACAAATTGCCTCAATATTTTCTCACCTTTAGGGCAATGAAGTAATTTTTTTCCTTGTGACTAACTTCGACAGACCAAGTTGCCCTGTCCCAGTGATCTACAATACTTATATTGCACATTTGTGAAATATTGGACCTATCCAGATAAACGAAATGACTTATATTCGAAATTACATTTTCCGAAGTTTTCCTTCACAAATAGTCCCAATTTGTTCTCACCTTTAGGGCAATGAAGTAAGTTTTTTCCTTGTGACTAACTTCGACAGACCAAGTTGCCCTGTCCCAGTGATCTACAATACTTATATTGCACGTTTGTGAAATATTGGACCTATCCAGATAAACGAAATGACTTTTATTCGAAATTACATTTTCCAAAGTTTTCCTTCACAAATAGTCCATATTTGTTCTCACCTTTAGGGCAATGAAGTCAATTTTCTTCAGGACTAACATCGGCTAACAAAGTGGCGCTGTCCCAGTGATCTACAATACTTATAATCATTGCACATGTGAAATATTGGGAGTCACAGAGTGAGGAAATGGCCTAAATTGAAACTTGAACTGTTCTGCCAAGTTTTATGCAGTGAACGCAGGACTGAGAGCCCGCAAGAGCCATCCCGGAAGATCTTGTGCGCCACCAACCGAACCTTCGGTGAATGTTCACAAGGTTAGAAGCTCGCACAGATAGCACACATTGGATGCTAGTAGTAATACAATGCACTCAGGAATGTGTGCAAATACAACAGAATTAATTCCAAATAAAGTCAACAATAGCTGCCTCAACACAGTGCTATCAACCTTCCGTATTTATTTGTACGGAAAATCACTACTTCGTCCGCGCTATGAATTTTGAGAAAAATGTACGGAAAATTGAACGGGATTGATCAGTATGTATAAGCATTGCAAGTGCAAGCTGAGCGATGAAAAGAAGAGAACCGAGTGGAAAGAAAACGCTGCAGTGGAGAGTCCTTAGAAAAGACTGAAAAAATAACATTAATATCGCTGCACAAGATCATCCTTATAAGTTATAACGTCAGCTGATCGTACTGTGGTTGATTCATACGGCGGTAAATACACACCTGCCCACACACGCTCTCTAAACTGAAAAGTTATTCTGGCACAGAGCTCTCCTTCCTGCCACCACCACCATCATCAGTTCGCGCCTGGCGCCTAGTCGATGCAGGGTGAGTGGTGTCCGACATAGCAGGCTGGTACATCAGGTAGCGTATGGCGCATAGAAGATGACACAGCAACAACATAGCTTGATTGCGACGTACCTTTCGTCCCGGCTGGACTCATCAGGCAATCTTCTTCTTAGATGCCTTCACAAGGAGCTTGACTCGGGAGAATGAAGTTGAAGACTCCACTGCAACTGCACTTATGGTTGGTTCATATGGTGGTAAATAAACACCTGGCAATATGGGGGTAAATACACGCCTGCCCAGACACGCTCTCCAAACTCCAAAGTTATTCTGGCACAGAGCTCTCCTTCTCACCACCACCACCACCACCATCAGTTCGCGCCTGGCGCCTAGTCGATGCATGGCTAGCGGTATCCGACATAGCAGGCTGGCACATAGAAGATGGCAACGACATAGCTTGATTGCGACGTACATTTCGTTCTCTCGGTTGTGCTGTAGCCTGAAAAAGGAAATAAGTCAATGCATCCACATGACACAGACAAGTAATTACTGTTACAAATAATGCATACTGCTTGATAACAGAGAAAGAAAGTCCGTGGTCACACAAGTTTTTGGTCGTCCCTGAAACGAAGATCGTTCCAGGGGGGGGGGGGGGGGGGGGAGCTAAAATCTCAGTCGACTGACGCTATGCATACACATGTACATGCATGCGATTTTCGTCGTCCATTCATTTCGGAGGGTGGAGAGGGGGTCCGAGTACAAAATGAATGATGTTTTTTTCAGGGATGACTAATCACTTTTGCGATGACCCCTTATTGCATCAATTTATCATCTGAACTGCGCAATTGAGTCCCACTTTTATTATGTTGGGTCCAGATTTCAAGACTCGTGAAGTTCGAGGCGAAAAGCAGGCCGATGAAGGGACGCCAGTAGTTCAGTCTAGTCCGGTGTCATGGAGAGGGACCGATGAACCGGCAACAAGAGAATTCAATACGCATGCTACTCTACAGTTCATTGCTGGGGAAGACTACTCAAGGCCACGTCACTCCAGCAATTCAATGTACAAATCAGCAGCAACACTTGCAAACATATTCCTACCAGCTGACCAGCAAGTTACCAGCCATCAGCTCTTCAAATAATTCCAACTTAACAAAGAGAGGAGATGGACAGATCGGAAAGCATCGTGGCAAGCTCAGGACAACACACGTCCGGCCCTATGTAACAACAGTGGAAAGTGCGTGCCATGGCATATTTTCGAAGGCATCTCAAGAACCAGCTAATGAGGACTGGGAGTCCATTTGCATCGTCTGATCAGCTGCTACAAGTGCCGTGAGCCAACGGCAAACACGTTTGACAGAGACTACTACCTCTACTGAATGCAACTTTGGCATGGCAGAGATCTACAAGCACGTTATCTTATCTATCAATAGAGTTGTATCCTCGTATGACTATGTGAAGTGTGAGGGCGTACTGTACTGCAGACGCGGCTACGACCTGGTTGGAAATGTACGCAACAGTTCCCACCCTCTTGACCAGAGATCGCACACACCCTAGGGTTTTGATGGGTTTGTACGACTCCCAGCTCTTGACTTTTGTTGGGTGTACGAGACACATGCACAGTTTCCGTAGGGCGAGTACTTTTTCATGTAGTACTGAATGCGGCAAGCAGGACTCGCCCATCCGCCCCTCCCCAAATGGATCTACTCGAATGGTTGCGGAGGTAGGGGTGCTCTGGCGGGATTTTACGACATACACAAGCGCGCACACACGCACACAATATACACACGCACGCACACACATACACACGAACGCACGCTATGTCGCACGTCTTGGGCATGGCTTCGTGAATACAAATAATAATTTAATGTTATAATTTATAGTATCCAAATGTTAGAGCAGCTTTACAAAACCTACCGTTCAATACCGGATCATCTTGTGACAGCTTCCTTGCAACACCCATGACTTGACCCCACTTCGTCTTGACGTCGGGAAATCGTTCACACCGGAATTGGGACACGACTCATTGAAATCCAGGCCTATCTGCTGCTGGGAGCAGGACAGAGCTGATGCCAGTGATGGACGTCAGCAGCGGCTGTAGAACAACCATAAACGAGTCTTCTTTCTCCGCAGTCAGGCGGGACAGCAGCTTTGCAACGCAAGCTTCTTGCCTTCTGTGGGTCTTTAGCGCCTGGGATTCGGAACGCTCCGAGGCTGTAGAAACCATTGAAAAAGTACTGCACTCTATCAACCCACAAGTATTTCTTCCAATTCATGATTATTCGCAACTTTTTATGCAGTACGCGCACCAGATCAGAAGCCGCTAAGTAGCAAGGTTGAAAGTTTCAAGACAAATTGAAAAATATAATAACATAGAAAATTACTTGTAGAATTCAAACCATACCTGTGGCCCAAGCCAACACAGACTGAGCGTTCACGCGAAGAGAACGTAGATCCACGTCAGCTGAGGTTTCCTTAGGATCAGGAGGTGATTCTTGACCCGGATCTGGATCACGATCAGCAGCACTCCCTGCCTCCATCACGATCATCAAATGCAACTAATTACTTGGAAAAGTAGTTCATTCTTCTTCTTCTTTTCGAGCTACGATTTCCCACGATCCTATCGATCCTGCACGAGTCCGTTCCCCAAGGAGTGCACTCCCAAACTCCCATGGCATAAGTACGCGGAGTAGTTGGTTTATAACTCAGGGCACGCACCGGGGATATCTGAGGGAAAAGTGGGAGAAAGTGCCGCGAGTCAATCATAGTCGGCCCGGAAGGCCTCGTGTCGCCTCCCGGGTCTATACGACTCCCTGGTCATAATGCTGATTTTAGTCGTTGCTGGGGCATTAAGGGGGGACGGGAGGTTCAGAGGGTCAAAAAATGAATTTCTGAGTTTTGAACTTTTTGCTATGGAATCTTGTCTTAGGATATTTGAAGCGCCAGAATTTCAAATTTGAGCGTAATCGGTTTAGTAGAAGTGGAGTTATGAGCTAAAG